GTCCCCCCCCCTTTAAGAATTTTTAATACCCTTCGAATAGCGCCGCCGCCCAGCTGACCGTATACATTTTCAAAAGGGGTTCTCATTACCGCCCGACTGTTATTTATAGTGGACACAACTGGTGTACTAGCCCCGACATTCATATATTGCCTTGTGGTTAAAATTCAATAGGTCTTTGAAAGCACACACCAGAAAAGCTCATTACAAACTTAGAAGTTATACTGGAACGTGATGAGACAGAATAATAGAAGTATATATATACTAAATAAACTTAGTATTGAGAGAGGGACTGCATCCAATAAATAAATACCGTCATGCCTTTAAACCGGTTTAGTGAGAGACATTTTTTTGTTACCCAACATGTACAAAAAACACCGTTGCACAAACAAAATATTTCAATAAATTTTATCAAATATTAAATAATTTGATTGAGAAAATCCGCTGTTACTCTCTTCTATTATGTTTTGGAAAAGTATGTTTGATACCGCCCATTCGATTTCTTATAATATTATTAGAACTATTAATAGAAACCAATTACAAAAATTTTAATGAAACTATTCACTAAAATATAAATGAAATTGTAAAGAATGTATTCAATATTTTTAATTCTTTCGAATCGTTTAGACGTGTCAGGCTAACTTATAAATTTCAAATGATTCCTATTTAAAAATTTTTTTTTTATAAAACAAATACCATTAAAAAAAGGATTTCACTTATAATAAGTAATATTTTATTACAATATTTTTAGACACCTACATTTTAAAACGTCCTCAAATCCTGTTAAATAACTTGGACTGTTGACCTATACTATAATTATACTATAGCCGCGTTTATGATGAAATTTGTTTGCTATCTGCATCAGTTTCAGTACTGTAAAATTTCGTAAGTATTACTTCTTTTAATAAATACGTCTTTAGCAAAAATTATATTATCAATTGTGGTATTCGATTTTAATACACATTTGTAATTACAGTGTTATTATAATTTGTTAAACTCAATTTTTCTAAATTATTTATGTATATTGGAGTTTATCATTTTTATACAGAATGATTCATGTATCAAGAACAATATAATTAATGGAATGATAAAAATAATATTGAGAATTTATATTGATTCTATTAGGTACATGTTTTTTTTTAATTTATCAACCCTAAATTATTGTTTATGTTCATCCCTTATACTTTACAAGACTGTTAACTTTATTTTTTCAAATGGCAAACTACTTATTTCATAGCTAATGATATAATTAAGAAAATTACTGGTCGACAACAACTTTTGGTTCAGTATTAAGGAAATTATTAACATTTCATAGTGATGGCTGGCGGATATTGTTATTTTTACCAATAGTAATTTCTTCACCGCTCTTTTCTTACCACCAACTTATTCATTTCTATGGTATAAACATTTTAAAAATGTTAATGGATAGTATTTCTGAATTTTTAAGAGTTTTGAATACATTTTATTTTAAATAGTAATTATATTGATTTTTGAAATGTTCGAACTGAGAAAAAATTACATTTTTGAAATCTTCTTAACTTTTTTTTTTTTTGCCGATAGAACAACTTTAACTGTAAACAGTTAAACATTAAAAAATTAAATAGTAATATATTCATCTTGTTTTTTTTAATAACGATTTTACTCAACTTCAAAAACCAGCACACGTTAACCTTGTAATATCAGTTATAAATTTAGCACAAATAATTTTTATAAGCATTTAAAAAAAAATCTAGTGGTGTAATTAATAGAATTGAAAACATCAATTTATAAGAACCGCCCTTCTGACACATTGTGAAGAGTTATAAAAATATATTGCTAGACAATGGTTTAATTATGTTACAATCTTCATTTTTTAAATAGTGTTTTTAAAGTATTACTTGTAATATCGGCCCGTTGTTGGTTTTATTTCGCCAACAAAATTCGGTGTATCGGTTATAGGAATGAGTTAATATCTAAAAACTATCCCTAGTAATAATAAACCGAGAAAAACGGCTTTATAATAATTCGTTTTCATAATTTTCTAAAATAAGTTTACTGAATTTTATTCTGAGCAATTAGTTTTTTTTTTATAGTTCCTTTTGCAGCAAACCTTTCATTGTGTTGTACAAAAATTAAATTTAGAGCTTTTTCTCTAGTGTTTCGCAACTATACGTTTCTCATTTTCCGTGTGTGCGGCAAAGGGGAAAACACCGGAGTCATTTTCATTGATTTATAATCGTATATGCTGCTGTACTGAGGTAAATGTCAAAAAAAAAACTAAAATGTAGAGGAAAAAGCACTCGAGCGACGCGTTATTTATTATTATTTACCCCCTCGCGTTTTTGCCTCAGAAAACCTCAGTGGGATAAATTATATGAAAAACTTAACTATCTTTTTTAAAAAGAAATTATACCTCGTTTCATTCTATAAGATTTAAGGTATTTTACGGTTTGATTATTGAAATTTATTACAACGTGTCACATTGATTATTTTCTACTGACGATAAAATTAATAGTGTTATATAAGGCATAACTTTTTTTACAATAATTTTATTTAGTTTTTCTAGAAACAAATCAAACTAAACCTTTTTGGTTTAACTTGATTAGATTTTTCCGTGGTATTTCCCAAAAAGCCTAGAATCAAAATTTAAAAAAACTGTCAATTATTTGACATGTACGATAAAGTTTTGAGATTAATACATATTATATATGTATATGTGTTAATTAAGGCAATAACTTTTTTATTTAGTTTTTATAGAATTTTACAGTATTGCCAATTGTTTTTATTCTTGTAGAATAAATCAAAACGTGTATATTAATTAAAATACGCCAATTTTCTTCGTTTAAATTTAGCTACTTAATTTGTTAGTGGATCATGTAATACGTGATATTCTTGTAGTTTTAACCGAATGATGAATTATAGTAAAAGAGTATTAATCGAAAACACATTTTTGTTATTCTAATCATATTAAGTAGTTTTGACATTAAAATAAAAGGAGATTATATTAATAAGAATATCACTAGAACTGTGGAAGATAGAAAAAAAAGTATAATAGTTAATTGGTCTTTAAGCTCACCAAGATTTTAAAGAAAAATTAAGTAAAATGAAAGAACCCAGGGATATTGTTTTTTTGTAAAATGTTTAAAATGCGATCGCTTTAATTCTTTTCGTGTAACAATGTACACATTGATTTGTTTTCAAACCAATTTTTAAGTGAAAATTTTACGGATAGACAGTGTAGTGTATTAACGTACATTATAATGTACAATTCCACATTCAATAACCCTATTATTAGACTTTGGGTTTACTTTATAATAACTCGAACACAGTCAGACAGGTATTCATTGGCGGTGTGGTCATAAAAATAATACAGTATACGTTTGATTTGCCTAATTATAATGTAGCACCCATAAATTATGTCGTTTGAGCCCACTATCTTCAACCACTGGTGTTTAGGAAAATTCGATAAGTTACAAATCATGAACGTCCATGTACAGATACGCAACTATTCGATCCTTTTTTTTTTGGTAGGCTGTAATTGTTGATCGGGTGAAGCAGGTGTCTTTAGTATCCACTTCCTTAGGGGGATTACAATAGGTCGCCCTTTTCATGTAACTGGTTAACATTCTCGAATATGAACGTTCTTATGCCAGGAGAATTTTCATCTTTCTCTGTAATCTGTTAGAGACCTGATAGTACACTTAACATCTTTACATAAATACATTTATCTTATATCTATAACCTACCTGATATCATTTAAAAAACTTGAATACATAAATACCGCTTTTGAGAAATACTTAATGATTCCATTAGATTATAGCAATGTAGAAAAACGTTCGATTTGCTTGAAAGATATATTAAAACTTACCTTATATTATACTAAAAATCATAATTCTCAATTAAATTCCATTAAAATGTTTTTAAATTGCTTGCGTGCAACTCTAGAAGGGAAATATGTATACAATGGTCGATGTGGCTCGTGCATGTCTCGTATGCTTTAAGACCGTCTTAAAAAGGCAGTAGTGTAACAATTTTACCATATTTCTTTATGCAAAATATTTTTATGAATATTCAACAAAGCATAAATGTTAATTAAAATAATAAAATGCAATGCTATATTTAAATGTATTTTTAGACAATACGGTTCTGTATACTCGTAGGATCACACGAAACCTTCTAAAGTCAAATAATTTGCCAACCCGCATTAAAAAAAAAATTCCTTTTTTACAGTTTTTTAAAACGAGTTTTCCTTCTATCTAATAAATTTCATTCTTATTTATTTTTATTAAAAAAAAAAAATTGAATTGTATGATTTTACAAAATTAATTTAATAAATTATTTATTTTTTAATTGTAATAGCACTTTCTATAGTCTATATAACGTCTAATCCAAGAAACCCCTTTGTTGTTTAAAACTTTCATGACTTAAAATTTAATTATATTAATTATGTTGATTATAATAGACTGAGACTTATTTAAGAATGGTTTAACATTTGCTATTCTAAACATAGTTTCTTGGGTTTTTATTTGGTTCATTTGATAGATCATAATGCTATAATATTCTGAGAACCGATAGTTTTAATGTGAAATATTTATATAGTTGCATTGCGTTTTATAACTTTCTACATTTTAGTAATGCTTTATGGTCGACTTGTATGAATGACTACAGCGTTTTCAAGTTAACCAAAGAAACACATTTCGACCACCGACCATAATAGTACATGACTATCGATTGAACGACTCCAAACATTTAAAAAAATTGTAACTCAATAATGTCTTATCATTTGTTGAATGTATTTATCGGTTAGGATTTAAGTTTTATGCGAAAGTAACCATGGCTTACTTCCAAAATCCAGGATATAATAAAACTTTTTTTTAGTTATCAAACATTTTTTTAAAAATTATTTCAGAAAATTATTTTTATCTATTAATTTAACTGTAAATAATAAACATACAGATTAAAATAAACATTTGTTTTTAAACTATAATCGCGAATTTATGAACACCGTTCAATGTCGATCATAATACAATAATATTGTAGGTAAGACGTATGTATTTATTATTAATTTTTATTTTACATAAAAGTAATATATACACAATTTTTTTTAAACCATTTGAGGGATCGTATATTTCCTAGAGACATGACCTCCTTGATCCAATGGATACCCATGGAAGTAAGGCCTGATAAAGTATGTATCCATCCCATTCTGAGTAGAAAAATGAATTAAAATATATTCAGCTTTAAACGGTCAAATATTTAGTTAGATAATAAAGCGTTTTGAAGAGTTTTTAAAACATTTTTGCTGTGAGGACACTAAATTCTTTAAGGTACTCTAAAGCTTTTGGCCTTTTATGTCCTTAATAATAACATTAAATAAATAGTAAGTTAGTTATAATTAAAAAAGTTGAGATTCATAAAATTACCTTTACAGCTTCATTTCAAAACATTCCATTAAAAAAATCGATCATTTCGAAACTATATAAGCATATGGCATCTTCATTTTACTGTTTATTCAATTTTTTTAAAAATGTTTATATTTTCAGGTTCATGTATTTACTATTAATCTTGAAGAATAGAAAAACAAGTACAATAAATAAAGAAAAAAGTAACGCAAGTTCAAAATAATAATTAAACATTATAAAGTATAAAGTCTTTGAAAAATTTAATTTCTTAAATTAACAAACGAAGAAAATATTGGTATAAGTAACAAAATGTGTTCACCTAGAGGTAAGTTTTCCAACTTGAAATATTTAAGGTGTTCAAAAAATAACAACATTGGTAACGTTCAAGTGCTATACATTTAGTATGTATTGTAAAATTTTATCATTAACAAACCTATTTATATCAAATATTAAAATTTAAACAGTTGTATAATAAGTGTGTTGTATGCGAACAACACACTGATATTGTACAAGCAGATATTGTTTGTATAATACTGCGTAGTTCGTAATAAAGTAAGAAGAATTCACAATGTTTGTCCCAAGATTTTGCATTCAACAAGTCTCTATAAGTACATATAGTTTTACTACAATAACATATTTAGTGTTTCTTAAAATCATTACATGAAAATTGTTTTCTAACGGTTTACACTGTTCCGATCCGAATAAGTTTTATAAAATATAGTTCAAGTAGTATGTTATATTTTATACTAAAAAATGTTTCCTCTTGTGTAATTAAAGTGATCACGAGTATATTTTTTATATAGAGACTAATATAGTTAAAAATAAAGGAAAGTTCGAAAACAAAGTTTACGTTGTTTGTAATTGACTTAATAAAAAAATTTAAATGTACGGTAATAATTTTGAAAGATCATTTGTCGACTTCCTAATGTTAATCATAAAAAGAATTTCCTCGTCTAAACGATATGTAACTAATTTAAGTCCGGATAGAGCGTCAGATTCACCAAATAAAGGTGTGTATTGAAATTTTAGGATTTTATAGGACCTTCAAATTATTCAAGTGATATAAATGAGATATATCAATTATTTTTTAATTCATTTGTTTTTAAATAATTTTTTTTCTCATTAAAACTGTTAGCGTACGAAACTATGATAATTAAATGAGATATAACAATTTATTAATTAATAAATTTTATTTATTTTGATTAATTTACACCGTTGTCCAAACATTATATAAAGTCTTTTAATTAAAAATAGATAACACTAGAAATCGCTTATTTAGATCAATAACTCGCTTTAATTTAGTCAGTTTGAATCTGTCCGTGTTAAAAATTATTGAACTAAACAATAACAAAATATCAAAACATATTTTAACTGTTAAAATTTAACAGTTTAAATCTCTAAAGAATCATTTCATAATTTTAAAATACTAAAATAATCATTATTATTACTATATATTTTATTTATTGTCACATAACAATTTATTTATTTATGTATGTCAAAATATTCACTATTTTTATAATTTATGAGTGATTTTAATTGCTTTCCTAGGTTAAACTCCCAAATATTTAATAAAATAGTAACAAATTATTGGATAAATTCTAGTTGCGTACAAATAATAATATTTTTAGTTGCTAAATGTGTAATTCATGTAAACGTTCAAGTGTAATGCGTGCTTTTTAACAAATTAAGTAATTTAATACGCTATCAAAAAAAAATTCTTGATTAAAAATACTTTATTATTTCAGGTTCATAAATATCGCAGACATGTGTAATTTTTCTAATTATCGTCGAATACGAATAATTTCTGTAGAACTCTTTTTTCATATATGCAGTTTTAACTCAATACGTACATATTTTTAAGACTTGTTTGAGTGTCTTTAGATAAACAATAACTAAAACGTTTTGTGGTAGAGATGTACTGCCGTCATAGGAGAAAGGGACGTATATGCCAAAAATCAAAAAATTATTTATTGTATCAAAATAGTTAGATTTTAATGACGCATCTTAAGTGTTCAGGGCTAATTTACTGTATCCATCTTAGTACTTTAATTATTAAGAATTTGGTTTATACGTATTCTGTAAAAAGAATACTTAAGAAAAAAGTCGTACAGAACTTGTACTAAGCAAAAAAGGAGTAACTCGCCACATACACGATTATTTTGCTTAGTACAAATCAATATATATATATATAGTTACGTTTGGTTATTAAAGCGATTACAAAAATTATTTCATGTTTATTCTTTGATAAGAAATAATGATAAGCTTATCGATGACCCAATGATGACGGAAAAACGACGTATATAGAATTTCGGCAGAAGGAGACGTCCTACAGTCTTTTTAACGATTTTATTAGATTATATCTAGTTGATAAAATGTATAAAATTTACCAAAAATACAAACGTAATCGTTTTTTTCAACATATCTGAAGTGGCATATACGTTTTTCTTTACTAGGACAGCAACATATTATGTACATAAAACAAGTAATACATAATCGGTGGTATTTCTCTACACACAAGATTACCGAGTTGTTACTGTACAGAGAATATTAATTTCAAGGGAAAATGTAGTTTTTTTTCTTCTCAAGTCCCCACTAAAAACTAAATGATTATACACTAATAATGGCAGTGTTGCGTTACCGATCGAGGACACCAGAACTAAAATGACAAGAATATCGTCTGGTATCTCAATAAAGTGGAAGGAATATTTGTGATAAAATTTTTGAAAATATGATGATTGACCGTGCGATGAGATATAAAACAACTAAAAAAAAATTTTAAAAGATTAGCTTTTATTTCCATTTGGAATTATGGAGACATGCAAAGCGCGTATAATTATTTTTACGACAACTTTGAACCAAGAGTAGAGAGAACAGTACAGGCGACACAGTGTATATGGTGATGGCGGGTGGGAGTCGTTCAGTAGTGACGGAATAGTGGCAACGCTGCAACTTGATGTTTTCAATCCGCCCCGCTATAACTACGTGCGCAACGTTGCCGGATGTAACGCCGTTGCACGCACACTACACGCATATACTTACACAAAAAACTACAGCGCGGCGGCGGTTCCTTCAACTTGTCAAACTGTCAAGTTTCGGTGGGCTTCCCTAGAACTGAATGGAAGGCGGGTGGGTCGGGGGCGTTGGATAATACATAGAGGGTCGAGTGAAGACCGTCGGTAAGGAAGGGGACTAGTATAGCGGTGGAGGTATTTCGTGTAGTCACGGGTGGAGGAAGAGGAGCTAGCGGAGGTCTGCGGGTTCTGGGTCTTTGATTAACGGAGGGTCTGCCGCCGCCGTTTCTACTCTGCCACGCGTGTATGTTTGATCCCGTCGTGGTAGTGATGGTGGGAGCCGTTTGTAGAGCTCTTCTATGTCATGTGTGTCAGTACTGTGTGTGTGTGTGTGTGTGTGTGTGTATATACAGTACACACATAACCATTGTGCTCGCACGCACATCGCTGTTGATATGCATGTGCCCGTCTTAACGGTGCCACAAGTCAAAGCAGTGGTAGTTTAGTTTTTTTTGTAGTAGTGTTGTAGATGTAACAGAGGGGGACCAACAGGTTTTGTACACTTTATCCTGTTAAATGAAAAAAAATTTCATGTACACCATAATGTACCCTTTAAAGTTTAGTAAATAAGTCTTGAAAGAAATTTTAACAAATATTCAGAAAATAAATTCAGTTAATTAGTTAATTCAAAAGATAATTTAATAATGAAATTATTATTATATTTGTACTCCATGTTAAAATAGTTTCTTTTTAAATGATTTTCTTTGAATAGCAATTTGAAACTATTTAAAAAGTAGTTGAATTGAAGTAAACTTGAAAAATGGCTAGCGAGTTGTAAAATGAAAATGTTATGCAGAACAGAACAAATATCAAATTTATTATATATACTTCACTTAATAATAATAGTTTATAACTAAACATACATTTATTAATTGTATCAATATTGTTTTCATTCAAATGTCTGTGATATTATAATTAAAAGTAATCTAAATATAAAATATAGGCGTGCGCAGACTTTTGGAGGGTAGCAAAGACTTACACCAACATTGTTAACCTAACGGTCCACTTAAAAAAAATTATATTTAAGACTCATGTAGACTCGACTAATTGTTCTAAAATATTTCAGGAGTAAATAATGACTCTCTCTAATAACCTCTTCCTTCCTCCTTAATGATAGAGGCATTTCTAGAACAAAAAGCATTTTGTTTTATTTTACTGTTAACAAATTACTCAATTAATTTTAGTATTTAACACAGTTGTTGATAATTTTAGTAATAAATAAAACCACATACTAATACTAGATAAGGATTATGTAATTGAAATATTGAACAATATTAATCAATATTTTGTTAACACATATCTATTTTTTTTAAATAATATACAAATTTATTTATTGGGATGAGACGCTAATACATAATTTAATTGAATTAAATCTATGAAAAGTCATTTTAAATTCAATTTTTTTTTAAGTCTAATAATATTTTAATTTGATACTGTTAGGAGAAATTTATAAGGTACACAATTTATAACGTGCCATAATGTCTCTAACCTGCCCACTTTATTCTTAAAAATATTTTGGAAAATCCATAAAAATATTTAAAAAATGTTGGTCTTAAATAAAAATAGATTTTTTACACGGATATCTCAAAATTTTTGTAAAAACATATTTATTTGTTTATTAATAATTGTACATTGTTTAATGAAACATTTTTTTAATTTTGTATTTTTTGTATTATTCAATAATGTATAAATATGTGTTATTCATTTTATAAATGTAGAAATGATAAGGAGCTTCAAAACATTAAGATTGAAATGTTCTTCTGAAATTATCTTATATACTTTTAGTTATAAATTGTTAAAAGATACTTTTAAAATTTATAACTATGTTTATTTTTAAATTTAAACATAATTAAATGGTTATATTGAAAGTAAAATTGTTTTAAAATTTTGCTCATTATTATTTTTTATTGTTAAAAAAATTATACGAATACCCTAAAAAATAAAAATATAAATTGTGGCTATTTGATTTAAGAGGCGGTAACTAGTTTGAAGGCGACATCTGAAGTGAAGGCCATAATGAATTAGAAAGTGATAAAATCATTATTTTTTTACATTTAAAAATACTTATTATGTAGCTATAAGACTTTTTTTAATTTTACTCAAATAAATAATGTATGAGTTAGAGAATAATTATAAGTTATTTATTAATATACTCATTTTTGTAAAAATGTATAAAGGTTTTGAATAACTAAATTTTATCGTTTCTCTGAATATAAATTTGTGGAAACGTCATAAATTTTTTCCATGGGCATAGTTTAAAAAAAATATTCAAAGAAGTTATACAATGCATGATTTAATTAGTGTTTTGCTTTTAGTACTAAATAATTTGCCACCTTTATATATTCATACTTTTTTTATTAAAAAAAAAAATATTATCATGTATGAAACAAGAGGAGGTTGGGGAGATCGCCCCCAAAAATCTGTAAAATTATTTATACAATAAAATTAAAATATTTTTTTATATGGGAATATATATAGCTCCCAATAATTTTATTCTAGTTGCATCTATATATAAAATCAAACAAATGTAGTTATTTTCTCTATTATAAATTTTTTAAAAACGTACAAAAAAGTTATAGTTGTTAATCAAAAATCTAAATTATATAAATTAAAAAATTAAAATTATATACTTAAGTTTAAAACTGAACAACATAAAATATAACAATAAAAGATAATAATTATAAATAATAATTAATACCTAGTACTCATTGACTTTTTGCTGGAGTCACAAAATTATTTAATATGACATCAAAGTTCATTTTGTTTACTAGTTATTAGTATATAGTTAACCCAATCGTTGGTCTAAAAAAATTGTATAATAGTTAGTAATTGCATTTCTCTCAGTTACAGAATTTACTATAGTATAGTTATATATGAAAAAAAAACTTAATATTAAAAATTATTTTTTGCCCTTTAGCTACCCCTAAAAATTTGCTGCCTTAAGCACTAGCTTATTGTGTTTACTGGAAAATCTCATATTTTATATTATAAATTGGGTTGAATTTTGACATGAAGGTTCTCTACCACATACTTTACCTCCATCATCACATAATTCTTCTCCCAAAAAGAAATTTAATTCATTTGTTGAGGGCTACAAATATTTTTATGAGATATTTAGCCAACAAAGCCACATGCAACTACGTTAATGGGTTTTCCTTAAATTTCGAGAAGATTATGATTTAAGTTCTTAGAGTAAAGTTTAATTAAATAAAAGATATGTATTTTTTTATGCTAATATTAAAAAAAAAGGAAATTATATCTTTAATAACATAAGTAATATTTATCTTTCAAAATAAAATAGTTACACTTAGAATTCACAACAAATTTGTCCAAAAGATATATCTTGTCTTGCAATAATAAAAATATAATTACTGTATTATTTTTACACTATGATTTCAGTGTGCCAATTAACTAAAAATTTTACCAAAAAAATGTTCTATAAAGAAAAATAATTCATATCTGCATTTAAAAAATTATTTAATAAAATATCATGTATTACATGTGTTATATTAAATGTAGCATTTATTTATTCAGCTTAGAAATTACCTAAATTGTAAAATCATTATATAAAATAAATGTGAGTCTAGAGCAATTACAAATAAAGAAGAATTTTGGAGATGAGATATTTTACTATATTTGTTAGTGTGAGACCTAATTATTTTAAAAAGAGGTCTTTTTTTGTGATAGAATCTATTAAATTAAGAGGGATTTTTTTCTTATGACTCTTGTATATCTTGTCAGAACTGACCTACGTCGTCTTCTGAACTCTCCTTTAAATATAATCCTTGATTTAAAGTATAATATGAGATGATAACTTGGAGATTTGTCCCAGTCTAAATTTTCAGTACTTATTGAAGCCGCATAGTGCTCTCAAATGTAATTTTTGTTAGACAAAATTAGGCAGAAAAAGTCAAAATTTCTAATTTTAATAGAAAAACAGGTCGACTAACATGTTTTTGTCGTTGCAAAATAAAATTTTTTTATTAATTTTAGTCAATTTTTGATGTAAATAACAAAATATATGTTACTTATTTTATTAATTGTTTTTTCATTATAAAACGCCATCCTTTAAAATAGCATAAACGTTAAATAATTGTATTTAATTTATATTAAAATTGCATAAAAAAATCTATTAAAATCTGATACAACGCCCCTATTTTGATTTTACCAACACCAAAAGTACATAACTGATGTATAAATAATTTGATACTTTTTACGAATAAAAATATTGCCATTGATCAAAAAAATAAGTAGGATGCCAACTGTTCTACTTTCATGTAAATTCTTTTTCGTAAAATAAATTTTCAACTTTTTAAATTTTTACTTTAACCGGGATTTTTATTAATGCCAAGTAGAGGGAGTCCAACAATTTATTGATACGTTGTTCATTTAATTGTCAACTGCATATTATATTTACAATTTTACATAAATTAACACTTTTTTTGGCTCGCGCTTTTTGGAAATTATGAGATTATCGATTTTTGTTGAATCGTATTTTTTCGGCGACGGTGGAGAATCCTCCCCTAAAACCGCTTTTATCTATAATGTCCTATAAAATGAAGATTAATTCATTTTTAATATTAAAACAATTTATGTTATTATTGAACATCACACAAATGGGCATGTAAAATTATAACATTAGTTTTGCCAATGTTATTTTCTTTTCTTAGTGTATTAATACATATCATACTTGTTATATACCTGCGTTCAGACATCTCTGGCGGCCATTTCCATTGACATTGACCCTTCTTTTTGTGCGAAAAATAGGGCTATGTGTACCATTAAAAAGGTAGAGGATGTAAAGGACAATGAGTAGGTGGAGATAATAGACCGCCCGTAATCTTTTTACATTTACAATGTATCGTCTTAGAGACGCAAATCGTGGGAACAAAAAAATATCGATTGTGTAAATAAAAATAATTCTGGGCAATTTTTTAAACTTTATTGAATGAACACAATTCCATATTTTTATGATATAACAATTATTCATAAAATTTAACCGTAACATACATAACATAATCGCACACATTTTTGTGTAGTTCTCTACAAAATTACAAATTATAATTTTACAGCCCGGATTTATATTCATTAATAAATTTTGTTTGATTCATTTTGAGTTTGTACTTATTTTTTTATAGAAATACATTCTATTTTTGGGGGGAATAAATTCCTTAACCCTCTCCCCAAACTAAGACCTCATTTAGAACACATTACTAAGTATTCGGGCCAATTAATATAAATTTGTGCTGGCTGATGATGTGTTCGGAATATTTTAACAAAATTTATAAATGTGTATAAAACCGGGTTCTAACTATAATCTATTAATTAATATTATTATGTGTGAATATTTATTTAGAGTTCCAAAATGAAAATATTTACTACACATAACTTCCTCCATCAAAATATCATAAGCCTGACAGACATTTCTTATCATAAAAATTTACAATGTAAATATATTTTTTATTAAAACTATTTGTTTAAAATACATAATGGATAGTAATTTTATGTAATGTGCTACTGGCTGTAACACTTATTTCAAATTGGATTTACATTAATTATAATTATAATTTAAAAATTGTTAATATATTTACAATTAATATAATAACATTAACAGTTTAGTGATAATTATTTAATCACATTTTTATTCATGTATATTAATTTAGTCACATAGTTTAATAGTGTAAAATAATCTTTTTGATTNTTTAGTCACATAGTTTAATAGTGTAAAATAATCTTTTTGATTTGAATGGGAACGATTTTGCGTTAATAATTAATAGGGGTATATTATATAGAAATTTACGCTAGAAAAGCTCAATTATCTAACTATTTAATATTTAAAATTATTTATGACTTTTTAAGTCTACTATTTTTGTTAGAGATAAAATAAAATTGAATCTTAATGAAAATCAAATAAATAATAATACATTTTGTATATATGGTATACATAGTCTGTAAAAAGTTGTTTGTAAAATGTTATAAGATAAAAATGATTAGAAAACAAATATCAGAGTAATACTGAAACAATAATAGGTTATTTATTTAAAATATTATTTTTATTATTAAAAATAATCGTCAAGAAAGTTTTTTCAACATTTTTTAAAGAGTAATTAATTGGATACGTACCAAAGAAACTTATTGGTCTCGTAAAAGTTTTGCGAAGAATTATTTTATAAATAACTATTTTTAATAACTCATTATTTATTCGTTAAATTATTATTACTCATTATTTAAAATACCTAGTTTCTAAATGTTTGGTGCTACTATAATTTTTTTTTATACAATATTGGTAATTTTGTGGCTTTATATACATTAATAAATTATGGTAAGTTAAATAATGTTTGTATAACATTAGCACAATGAAAAATTTTAAAACATCTATGTTTTGTGCTGGAATTTTCCATTCAAATATTAACAATTATACAATTATTAACAAAAAAATAATTATGAATATTCTCTTATTTCTAATATCTTATTCATAATAGTCTTTTCATACGGCTGAAACTACCATTACTATTTAGAATATAACGAAAAAAATATAACAAAATCTTAACACATAACATCAGTATAATTATAGTTTTTAAAATATAGTACGATTATAAAACAGTTTAAATATTTTACTATATCTTAATTTGACTTAACATAAAATATATTTTATAAAATAAATAGTAATGAGAAATGTTTTATTTATTATCATGAAAGAGATCCATAACAACGGTTTTATTTAGTTAACAATAATTTTTTTTTTTAATTTTTACTAGATGTTTCAAAATCAAAAAAAAGGAATAGGTATGCTCAATTAAGTCATTTGAAGACCTAAAATAAAATAAATAAAGGCGCCCTTATTGTTTAAATATTTTATGGTCATATCGAAAAAATTTGTTAGTTAATTATCAAATATAAATAAGATGTAAAAGCTTAGCACAGGCGCAAATTGGGAAGAGGCTTATTCCTTCCAAAATTTCAAAACAACTACAATATAATTATATAAAAAGAAATTCTAGAAAGGGAGAAGTTAGATGTAATAAGCTCATCCAAATATTTTTTTTGGAATTGCGCCTATGTAACTCAGAGTTTTATAAAAATATTTAAAAATATTATTTAAGAAGATACAATAACATTGCCTCTAAGCAGTATACATGATAATGATAATTTTTCATAAAAATATTATTTACATGCGTTATTATATAGCAAAAAAAAATTATTTGCAAAGGTAAGTACAAAAATTATTCATAAAACACGTTGAAGTTGCGGTAGTGTAATTATTAAAATTACCACTTAATTAGAAATTTATAAAAAAAATTATAATAGGAACTATATAAGATATTTTATGTTTTTCAAATATTTCTTTATTTTAGAAAATTCTTATTAAGATAGTTATTATTTTTTGAATTGGCCGCTTCTTGGAGGAGTTCAATAGCAGTTTCAGTCTATAAAATAGCAAATAATTATAAAATTTAATCTGGATGAATTGGAGTATATGTGATAGTTGAAAAGATTCGTATACTTCTTCATGTAGACGTTTTATCAGCCTGGCTCTCTCTACTTTTAATTTTTCAGTTACTTTTGTATTTTTCACCGACCTTGTGCTGTTAAATTCCAATAGCGCTAGGTGGGCGTCTTTTTCGCTAATAGCTGATTCTAAAGCTTCTTGTCTATATAAAAAAAATAATTAAAATTTCATTATTCAAATGTAGAGTAAATGCTTTAAATAATAAATTATTTAATTAAATCAGGTCTTTAATTATATAAACCCCTTTCCAAAATATGATTCAGGGATGTATTTATTGAGTCTGAACCCCTGATCTCGAATTTTTTGTAATTACCTATATAGAGTTTTCAGTAAGTAAGGGCTTCTATTATTCACATTACATGTAATAATTGACATGTTTCCTTATTTACTGAACACTCTGTACAATAGTTATCAGGGTAATTTGATAGTATTGCTTGGAAATTAAAACATCTTTATCCAGACCATCCTTATCCTGGTTACTTACTTGATGCAAGTAAATAATAATAATAATGTAGACTTTTGACGGGATTATTTTATATGATTAGCAAATAACTTCTCTTTATTCAATCAGTTGATAAGTTGATACATTTTTCTGTGTTCAAGGTTTTTTAAATATGAGAAAAATATGAATTAAATATTTTTCAAAATCAATTATTCAATAAACATATCTTTACTAGTATGAAAAATTCTTTCCCTAACTATGGGGTAAGATGACCTACTGGTAATATTAAAATAAAACAAAATTTCGTGTTACGTATATATTCTTACAAATTATTCAGTAAAAGTGTTTCAAACAAAAAAATCATATTTAATATATAGACTAAAATAAAAAAATTTCTTTTTGGAAGATATTAACGTACAAGTTAAATTATGGTTTATATTTTTAATTTGTGTATAACATAGTATTGTTTTTAAAAATCCTTTTAACAATAATTTTTTTCTATTAATATAAATAGACAATGAAAATTTAATGTACTTGAAAGTTGACATAACTTTGTTTTTGTAGTTAAGGATTTAGAAATGACTGCCATTTTAAATATCAACTACCTTATATACAATATTATGTATTAACTACATATTTAAATGATTAATTTCATTGTATCATATATATTCTTTTAAAATATAAAAATTTATGACTATAGTTTTTTTTTATGAAGTATGATTTTTTAAATTACCTCAGTTGAGACAATTCTTGAAGCTTTGAGTACCTTTCATTTTTAAAATTATAAAGTTGTTCTTTTAAAACTTCTAGTTTATTACTCAACTCACGGCAATTAATACACTGTTTTTCAGCTAATGACAACCGCTCTTCTAATTTGTATACCTGTGTTTAGATATAAATTAAATGAATTTAACTTTATTAATATATTCTATGCATGTCTATCGAGTTACGTAAAATTCATTTTGTTTTTCCATAAATAAATTCTTAAATATCTGTCGAAGCTTAAAAAACTAATTTACTGCTAATTGATCAAAAATAATTTATCGATTTATTAATAATTATAAGGAAAATATTGTATTATTTTTTATAAAATTGTTTACATTTAATGTTGTGTACAATTAATATAATATATTCAAATAATTAAAAAAAAATAAGTTAATGTTTGAAACTAAAAGGAGCCGTATATGCATCTCAATGTGCTTAGTTGAATTTATGTCTTTAAAATTTTGCTAATGTGTATAAGATGACATGTAGCGTATACACCACATACCATAATGTTTATCACATGTAATGAACATAAGTCAATTTTGCAATGTTTTTATAAAAAATTCCTATAGATAATTTAGTGAAATATTTATTAAAAAAAAAATAGGTACAATTTGGCAGTAATTCAAAAAATTAAATGTGGAGTTAATGTTGCATACATATTGAGCTTCAATTGCTATTAAGTTAACCATAACTCTGGTATTGAAATTTCGATTCAAATAGAAAATAAAGAAATTAATTTTTTTAGGAAATTTCATTAGTTCAAAAAATTACATAGAGTTACAATGGTTGATTTTAAATCCAATTAATTAATTAATTTTATTAACCCATATTTAAGTTTATTTTAATAAACAATTATTTTTTAAAAATTTTCTTAATTGAATAGATTTAATACCTGATTTTGTACATCTTTTCTTTTAGACTGCTCTTTATAAAGATCATCTTCTCTTTCTGATATTATTATAACACTTTCCTTAAGAGCTACTTGTAGCTCTTCTATATGATCATTTTTCATTTGAATCACATCTAATAACTCTTCTAGTTCTACTATAAATTTTGATTCAATTTCGTTCTTTAAATTTCCATCAGTTAAGTATAAATTATCTGAATTTTCGGAGTAGTCTAAAGTCTTAGTGGACGAAAATAATATAAAAATAATAATAATAATAAAAAATAAAAAATAAAAAATAAAAAATAAAAATAAATAAAAAAGTAATAAATAATTTGTATGTATAAATTTCAATGAAATTACAAAAAACATTATATTTAGATAAACAATTAAATATTTACAATTTAAATTTTTTGATATTTTTGCGTGAGTTATTGGTAATGTGTAGTGAATTCGATGAGGTAATTATTATTATTTACAATTATTCAAAATAATTTAAGTATAAATAAATTAAATATATATACAGCTATCAAATTTGAAAGGTTTTTAAACCTTTTGTTTGAGATATAGAAGCTCAAATAGAATAATTTTTAAAATTATTAGTCTTATGGCTGAGATATGGTTATATTAAAAAAAAATTATGAAGTATAATTTAATTATTGGAACAATCCTTTCAAAAAAGTAGCTGGGCCAGGCTGATTAAATAATTAGTATATTAAAAAAAAAGTAATAATAATAATAAAATTAAAAATAAATAAATAATAAGGACAAAGGTAAGAAAAAAAAAAAATTATATTAGTTTGGAATTATTTATCATATTTTTATGTTTAAAATATTGATGTCATTTATACTATATTTATTCATCAATTTTTAATGATATAACAGATTTTTTATACGTGTCAATAAAATTTTTAGAATAAAGTTGAATAAAAACAACTATTTTTTATTATACTTAATATTAAAATAAAAGAATATTTATAGATATTAAATAATCTTTCATTATTTTTTAATTGTTATATTATGAAAGGTGATAAGAAAAATATTATAAATTTCAAAAAATGACATCAATTTCTATAAATAGTTGGGTTTACCTCATCGTCTTTTTTCGGTTGTCGTAGTTGTTGTGGAGATTGGTGAGATGAAGTGGGCGGACCTCTCAGTTTTAATTGTGCATTTTTTAATGCTCTATAATTTTAAAAATAATATGTGAACAAGAGTTTTTCATATATTTTTTTTTTAATCTAAAAAAAATGTTCATACTCTTGTAATTCCCTAATTTGTTTTTCTTTTGCATTTTGTTCTTCTTGTCCCATTTGAACAACTTGTAATAGACGTTCCATGTCTGTCTGTGATCTACTTGCTTCTTCTTTACATTTGTCTAACTCTTTTTGTAAACTTTCTATTTGATTATGAAGTTTTTTAATCAATTCACTATCTCCAGATTGAGATTTTCCCTAGTTATACATAATAAATTTAATATAATAAATTTAATAATGTATAGGAATTATATTACTTTATTAATTTGTGATTCTAATAAATCTAAATTTTCCTTTCTTTTTTTTAACTTTGCATCTAATTCAGCAACATGCTTTTCTTTTTCTTCCAATTGTTTCGACCGACCATCAATACTTTTTCTTAATTCTTCGAGTTGTCGACGTTGTGCTTCCAACTGTCGTTTTTGCTCTTCAAGTTGTGCTTTTAAGGAAGTAGTCTCTTCATTAGCTTTTGATGACGTTATCTGTACTTTTTTGTGAGCTTCTTGAAGTTCAAGCTAAAAAAAAAAAATAGTATTTTCCAATAATTTTTTATTAAATTTTATATAGCGAAAAAATTATAAAACAAAATCATAAAATGGATAATACAAAATAAAAATAAAAAAATTTTGTAATAAAATATTTATTGCAAATACATATACAATTAACTAAAATTCTACTAAACATAAAAATAATAAATCTATGATAAACTGACGAGCCAACCTTCTTTTTTTCTAGTTCGTTTCTAAATTGTTGATTTTGCGCTTGTAATTTATCTTTTTCAATTGAAAGATTTTTAAGATCACCTTGAGTGTGGTCTAATTCATCCAAAAGTTTTCTTACATCTTCTTTTAACGCATTGTCATTTGAACTTGCTGAAACTTGAAGTTGTTTTTCCAATGTTGTTATTTTAGAAATATATTCATCTGTTTTCCTCTTATTTTCTGTCTGAATTCCTTGAAGTTGTTTTTTAAGATCTGTTATATTTGATTCTTTACTATTAATTTGTTGTTGAGCTGCTTGCAATTTCTTTTGAAGTTCTTCCATCATCATTCGTTGTGCATCTATTGATTTTTGTATATTTATTCTTTCGCTATCTGCTCCTTGATCCCGTTCTCTTAATGCTGCCTGCATTTGCTGTATAGCTTGCTGTAACGTTTTAGACTCTTGTTCTTTAATTGCTAAATTATTCTTACAAGTTTCTAACTCTTTGTCTTTTGTTCTAATTTGATCTCTTAATCGCAATGTATCTTGCTCTACATTTTGCTTATTATTTTGGTTTTGATTTTTAAGTTCAGTCATTAATCGTTTTACTTCTTCTTTTTCATGTTCCAAATTTCTTTCAGAGACTTGTAATTTATCTTGACATTGCAACAGTACAGACTGTGATTTTTTTAGCATATTTATTAATTCATCTCTTTCAGATACTACTTTTCTCAAATCTGCATTAAGCTTTGAAGTTTGTTTTTGAGATTCTTCCAGACGTCTCTCGCCAATCTTAACTTGTTTTAGAAGTTCGTCTCTTTCAGTTAGTATTATACTAGAGCTATCTAACCGTGACCTCCATTCTTGTAATTGTTTTTCTTTAACTTCAAGTTTTTCTAATAAAATTTCTTTCTCTCTTAATACTTGATTAAGATCTTGTTGAACTTTTCCGATATTTTCTTTTACATTAAACTCACTATTTGTTTGACTTTTTTGTTGTTGTTCAAGAGCTCGTTTCATTTGTTGCAATTCTGTTTCTAATTTCACTTTTTCTTCGGATATTCTATGACATTTTGCTTGACTTTGTTCTAATCGATCTCTCATTCTATCATAGTCACCAAAGTCTTTACAAGTACTTTGTGATCTACCAAGAACAGGCTTATCTCTCATGAATCTATCATAATCTCGTTCTGGTTTAAACTGCAATAATTCTGCCTCAACACGTACTAAATCAGTTTTTAACCTTTCGTTTTCTTTTTTTAATTTATCTACATCCATTTGAGTTTTGTACAATTCCATTTCGGTTTTTTCTTGAGTTTGCTTAGTTTTTGTGTATCGCTCTTTAGTTCTTTCCAAATCAAAACTAGTCTGTTCTCCAACTGTTACTATATCAGTTTTAAGTTTTTCATTTTCCGATGATAATTTATCACATTTTATTTGCATTTTTTCATGCTCTAATACTAATTTTTCATTTTCTTTCTTGAATTTAGAGTATTCTGATTTACTTTTTTCTAATTCTATGTTTAACTCACGTATTTTTTCTTCTAATTTTTTTAATGATGTTTGCATTTTCTCAGCTCGTTCCATTTCTTGCGAATATTTACTTTTAAATATTTCTAACTCTTCTTTAACTCTCTCATGCTGTCTAACTGAATATCTTTCAGCTTCCTCTTTATAACTTGATGCTTGAGATTTGTAGGAATCTATTTCTGTTTGTGACTTTTTGTACTCTGACATTAGTTTATTATATTTATCGGACATTTTATCTAACTCAACGGTGAGTTTATTTACATCTTTTTGTTGATCTTCTAACATAGCTTGTGTTTTAGAAATTTGAGAATGAGCTCGTTCCATCTCGTATGAATTGTTCATAGCATCAGTTTGTAATTTATCTCTGTCTGTAGTCAATCTTCTGACCTCTGTTTGTAATTTATCACATCGTTCTTTCATCATTTCTAAACTATCCATTAAATGATCTTTTTCATCTTTAAACTTATCTTCAACGTCTTTAGTTCTTTCAAGTTGCATTAAAACTCTGTCGTAAGCTTCTTGTATCTCCTGAATTTCAGATTTTGCTTTTCGTTGATCTTCTCTTGCTTTCATTGTATGCAATTGTAATTTCTCCATTTCTAATTTTACATCATCTTTTTCATTTTCTGCTATTTCTAATGATTTTTTGAGTTGATAGAAGTCGTTTTGTAATCTGTAAAATAAAAAAATAATCAAGAATAAAAAAAAAAAAGCAAATTATTTGATATACCTTTCGTATTTTTCAACAATTCGATCTAACTCATCTTTAGCACTATTCTTGTCTTGGACACATTCGTACATTGTTTTTTGACATTTTTCTAATTTTTCTTTCTGAATATCAATTTCATTCATTATATCTTCTTTTTCGAGCTTGATTTTAATGAATTTAACAACAAAAATAATTATTTATTTTGGATTTTTGAAATTTAAATATTAAATAAAATTTTAAATACTTGAGTTTTTTTGAGTAAAGATTGAGTTTTTTCAAATCTCTCTTCAGTCATATCAAGTTCAGCTTGTAATTTTTCTTTTTCTCTTTGATATTTCATAATTTGCGAATGTAACATATCAGCATCACTTTTTTTTTTATCACTGTCATCTTGTAATAAACTTTTTTCCTTTTGCAATCTAGCAACCATAGACTATAAAAATAGATTAAAAATATGAGTCATTGCTGGTAAGCATTTATATTAAGAATAGTACTTACTTGACTAATTTCATATTTGCTCTTAAGACTATCTAAGTCCATTTGAATTACTTCTTTATCCTTTTGCAGACGAGCTGCTTGACCAAGAGCTTTGTCAAGTTGTGTTTGCAGGTTTGTAAAATCAAATAGATTTTGCTCTTTTTCAATGTGCAACTAAAAAATTAAAAATGTTAAAATATTTTCTATATTAAAAAATAATTTAATTTATTTTTATAACCTTTCTTAATTCACTAGTAACTTTGTTTAAAGAATCTTGTGCTCTATCAGCTTCTCTTTGCGTATCATCCAGAGCCATTTGTAATTTATCTTGTTGTAATTGAGCTTTACCTAAAGTGCTTTGAGATCGTTCTAATTCTTCTTTTGTTTTTTCAAGTTCAACAAGTGCCTTTTCTCTTTCGGCTAAAATTCGTGTAACACTTGATTGGTTTCGATCGTACTCTTCTTTAACATTATTTATTTCACCTTGAGATTTTTCAAGTTTTGTTACTAGACGATAAATTTCACCCTGTGTCATCTCATTTTTTTCTTGCAATGCTTTCATTTCTAATATGAGCTTGTCATTATCAGCACGTGTAATACGAAGATCTGCCTGTGCTGCTCTTAAATCCGAAAGAGCTTTGTCAGCTCTGTCTTGTAATCTTTCCATTTCTTGTGATTTAGTTAGTGTGCTCCTTCCAAAAGTAGTTTGTGATAGTTCTAAGTCTTGACGCAGTTGTGCGTTTTCTAATTCTAATCTAGCAAACTTTTGTCTTGTATATTCCCAATCAGAACCATTTCTATTAACTTCACTTGATGCTTTTTCCAACTCTGCTTTAGATTTACCAAGGTCACTCTGAGATTGCTCTAAGCGTTCTTCTAATCGATTCTTCTCACAGTTTGCTCGATTTAACCGCGTATGCAATTTTTCTACTTCACTCTCGAGAGAATGAAGTTTTAGTTTAAAATCAGCAATATCTCTTTCATGTAAATCTCTTTCTTCTTGACGGTCTTGTTCGGCGCGATCCCTTTGTTCTCTTAATTGGTTCATTTGTTTTTCTTTGTCACCAATAGCTTCTTCTAAACTAGTTACAGCACCTTCTGATGAACACTGATGAGCTTGAAGTGAAGCTAACCTTGTTCTAGCCATTTCTACTTGGTTATCTTTTTCTTTTAATAAGTCTTCAAGATTTTCAATCTATAATTAGCAATATAAAAGATAAATTCTAAAGTAATTAAGAAAACTTAAAGTTTTTCAAATCTACTTACAAATCTCTATCATGTAAAAAGGAATAAGCTGTAGTAATACAACGTGTACAGTTTAAATCTACACATTCAATTAAAAAGCTCAAAACAAAACTTATAAATTACCATTTTTACTATAAATAAAATGAATAAAAAAATAAATTAAAACAATATAATTCGATAAAAATGTTCAACTATGAAGAACTGTATAACTAATAATACAACTATTTTGTAGTGTTCTATAAAAGTAAGAGATGGAAATACATTCGGTTTTTGGCAATTTTTCATATTTCAAGTAAATTAGTCTATCTTTAACAAATTTTTTTTTGTTGAAAAAACATTACAAAAGCTCTAATTATTATACGACCGCGTATAATAATAAAAGATCTTTGAAACCATAAATTAACTTAATTAAGTCAAATTTTAGGTTTTTAAAAGCACTTTTTATAATACTTACGATTTCTACACTTATTAACTTTATAAACTATTGAAAAAAATCGATGTCGATTGACTAACTTACTATTAATGGTAAAAATATTCAAAAAAACAAAATAATTTCGGTCGCTAGACCTGAACTACAATATACAAAATAAACTACTAACATAAAAGTCACAAAGCTTTACAAAAGTTACATGTTTGAATTAGGGTTAGGAACCACAATAATTTCGGGTTATGATAATTTTTCTTATATCTATTAGATTAATTCATCTATATCGAATTTTTTTTAGTATATGTTATAAAAACGAAATCGAGGAACGAAAAAAATTATGAGACCACCTTTGAAAGCTTAATTAAACTTAAAATTTGACTTTAAAGAAGTTGGAAAACCGAGATTAACCCAAAAATATATTGATTAATTTTATTATTTTAACTTTAAAACGTCAAGTTAACTTTAAAAGCTATTAGATTTTTAGTTATTAACCTTACAAATTCTTAAAAAAAAGTTCGATATATAACAACTAACTTCCTAGATATTGTAACAATTTTCATAAAACCGAAATTACTTCAATTTCTAGTCCGGATTTGACTACTTACTTTTCTTTGGAGGACATTAATTTTTCTATCTTTTATATCCACGTGGTCCTTAAACTCATTCATTTCACTAATCACTTTGTTTTTTTCTTGTGTTGCTTGTAAGGCAGCTTGTGTTTTTTTCTCGATTACGCGATTTTTCTCTTCTAATCTAGTTCGCAACTCTTCTACCTAGAAGTATATTAGTTGAGTTACTGTATAGTTGAAATATTTATTTTTAATTTTATTAAATATATAATATTTATAATTATGACAAATATTTCATTAGTAAATTATCATAATAGAAAATAATATAATTTAATCTTAAGAGAATATGTATATTGAATAAGACAAATAAATAAATAATTTAATTTATGAACGACTACTGCATAATGTAAGTCGTAATTATAATGTAAAATATCTAACTTGAAACATTGCAAAGTGCTATATAGATTAAATAGACGATAGAAAATTTAAAAAATTGGAAAAAACATGCAAATAATACAAAACTTTTCATGTATACAAATCGTTTTAAGTTAATTAAAAAAAGTTATATATGTTTGCATCACATTAATTATTAAAAAACTTTAACACTATGTGCGCTCATTACCGTAAATTCCTTCAATCGTATAATTATTCATTTGTTATATTTTATGAGTTAATTTATAGAGGATTTAGTTAATAATCCTTGATCCTGTGATATTAATTCTTAACAACTTACGTCCGCTTGTAACATTGTATAATGTTCTTCTTTTGCACTCAATGACTCCTTCAGAACGCCAATGTGTCTTTGATAGTCAGTATGCTGTTCTTCTAGCGTTTTCATCTTGGCACTCATGGCCACGATTTCTTGATCACGCCTTTGAATTTCTGACCGGAACTCTTCTAGCTATATACGATATCAATTTTTATTATGTTGCTACACAGAGCAGTTATATCCTCTCAATATCACTCAAATAGATTACATTAAGTAAAATTATGGCGCACACCATTGAATAAAGGTATTACAATAATACATTTAAAATTACAAATAGTTGATACTGATGTGTAATTATCATGCACTTTGTACAACTGATAAACATGCATAAAAATATAAAAAAAAGTCACAATCATTGTTAAATTAAAGGTTATCAAACATACTATTAAATCAAAATCTACGCGTTCATAAATTATTTGTAGCAGACTGATGTTTTTTTCATATTTCTTTAGAAAAATGAGACTTTGTACTTATTAATTTGTGTAATTATTTTATATTTTATTATTATTCATATCTCTTCAATTTATAAAAAAATATCATTTAGTCAACTTTTCAAAAATTTTACAAAAAGTTTAAACTAATACAGATATTTAAAAATAAATATCGGTATTAGTTTAAAAAAAATTCACGTGAAAAAAACCAATATCCTATATTTTAAAGAATTGTGATATTAAAACATTTTACTCAAGAAAAATCAAATTTATTGAAGAAAAAATTATTTAATAAAATATCAAGAGAAAAAGTACAAGCAGTAGTTTAAATAATCATCAAACATAATTAATGCCCGACGAGTCCAGGCAAAGTAAATAACGAAATTATCTTAAATCTAAATGACATATATGAATTTTATAAAATTACATTTAATGTAGTTACCATTTAGTTAGCGACTACGTGTAATAATAAAACTTAATGATCATTTCCAAAAATTTAAGATTAAACATTTTTTTTCAGAAATAACTGATAAAATTATATTTTGAGTGCATAAAAGTAACTATACAGTTGTTGACCTTTCTATTGTTCTCATTGTTTAGAAAAATTAATCTGTTTCCTTACATAACACTTAATAGTTAAGTTGAACTATATCTTAATGAAATTAATTAAACAATTTTTAGCCTTAGACACATTTAAAATTTCATTTTTGATATCTTACATTGTTAAAGGAAACAATTTTCAGTATCATCTATTTTAATCGAGACAGAGGAAGCGAGTTTTTTGCGTATAGGTGATAAATAAGCGACGTTTAGTAGTTTGTTATATTTTGAATAAAATAATACTTTTTTAATTAAATTGAAATCAGTTAAATTATTTACTTTATCAAAGTAATTAGGAAAGTGAATAATTTTTAATTTAAAAAAAAACTGCCTTAACTTATTGCACATTAATATTAGTTTAATTTCACGAACCGATTTAAATTTTGAGACTATTTCACAATAGTATTACTTATTAAAATATGTCCAACAACAATACTATGTACTTATTTTTGTTCTTATACTTACCTCTCTTCTTTGACCAGACTTCCTCTATATATAAATTTTTTTTTTATTTCTGAATGCATTATATATTATTTACCTTATACTTGGACTAAAAGGGTATACATATAAAACTTTTTTCAAATAACTACTGCATCATAATTATCTGCACTGATAGCATAGTTTACTAATGTTAAATTTATATTTTTTCAAGAAATTATTTTCTTATAATATAAAGGTTTATCATAAATAATTCGATTAGTTGCAATATAATATCGAATAAACATTTTTTAGTTTCTTCTAGTCACCTATATTTCTTAATTTATCAGCTAATAATTACTTTTTAGAATTATCCTTTATAACTTAAAGGGGTGTCGACTTAATTTTTTAGTGACAACATATTTAACTAGCTTATAAAATAATCTAATTAAAAAAATGACTGGTTGATAACAATTTTTTGAACTAGTATTTCGGAAGTCCTATAAACTGATAAATCAATTTTTTCCAATATTGTTTTATATTGTGACTAATCGAGTGGTTTATGATAAACCGATCAACCATTTTAATGATTTTATGTCTAATATTATTAGTTACGGTGTCCTTAATTTAGCCCTTCTTATTTTCTTATTACAATAGTTATTTTTCAATAAAATAAAAATTCCGTTTTTTGTCATTTACCATTATTTAAGCCTCAGTTATATTTTATTTAACTCACACGAATATTTACATTTTATAAGTTATATATGCACTTTTGATTAATTTATCTAAAAAAAGCATCCCTACTTATTTATTCTTACTTATAAGGAGACCATACACTATACCATGATTGGTAAGATGCGATTATAACATTACTGTTTTCGTAAATGAAGTGACCATGTTTTTTTTAATGGATGGATCATACATATTTTATTAAATAAATATTTATCACTATTGTTCAAACAAATTTAGATTTTAATTAAACAAAATATAAATTTTAGTCATTATTTTAAATATCAAGAAACAATTACTAATAAAAAAAATAATTTTCTTAAAGATTAAAGTTTTCAATAAATAACTATTTAGAACTGTAACTATTACTATTATACTTTGTTACTATTACAGAATAACTTTAACACATAATTTTAACCGTAAAATTTGTTGGTAATAACGAAGAACCCAGTCTAGTTAGAATGGTCACTAAACCCATATTAACTCATTTATATTTGAAACATTTAAAACATATTAACTGGTGATGAAATATCTGTTTGATGCAAGAAGCAAGTTATTTAAATCAAGAAAAAAGCGCGAATAATCGAAGAAAAAATTATGCACGGAATAGTGCACGAATAGAAGATGATAAAACAAAGCTCAGGGTCTAGAAACACCTGTCGAAATCATGCACTTTTAATGACTACTCACTTGATGTTTGAACGTGGGAGTAGACGCAAACTGAACACTTCTATCAAGAACGTGGCCAGTTGATCCAGCATAAAGCCGTAACCTATCCAACTCTTGTTCCAATAAACCGACTTCTTTTTCAAGAGTCATTATACGGGCATCCTTGGTTTCTAGTATAGCGGTTAACGTACCACTAGATGCAACCCCTTTACTCTGAGTTTGATATGATTTTTCTAATTCCATTTGTAATGCTTTAAGATTATCATTGGTAGTCTTTAGATCCTGAATAGTGGAATTACAAAAAACATTGTTTTCAAAAAAAAAAAAGTAATATTATCCATTTAACCCCATTTGTTAAATAACAAAAAAAATTGTTCACGTGCAAGCCCTCGAATTTTCAGACATTTTTAACCTCTATCATAGAGTATAAAGTGGGAGGGTGACTGGTATCGAGAACAGGAGCCCATTACGAAACACGATTTTACATGCAAAACTGAAAGATTAGCTCTTTTAGAAATATTATGAAAACATGTTAACAAGGCCATAACCTATAACCAATGTAATATGGACTCAAAAGCACACATAATGTCATGTATGATGTCTGAACGATATTTTTCTGAGTGAGTGTGCCATTGTACTCACGCGCTTCGTACTGTTGAGTTCCTGATCCCGATTCCTGATAACAGACTGGAAGTGGTGAACAAGGTTTTCACTCTCTAATAGTCGTGCCTCTAAGTCAACTTGGCGGGCCTCTAATTCAATAGCTTCTACCACTTTACCACCTACAAACATCCAAAGCAATTACATATAAAGCCATCAAAATACACGCTAAATATAACTACTCTGTGGATGGATTCTTTTATTTAAAAACAAATACTATAAAATGCGTTTAAAGTGCGAATCTACGAGTTCTTGGGCTGGTAACTCTAAAATTATGTTTTTATGGAGATAAAGCTTTGGTAGTTTATGTAATTGAAGCAGGAGAGACGAGACATTAAGACTCAAAATACTTAAGCAGTTTTTCGCAAAGAAAAATTGTAGCTTACACTTTTTCAAATAGATATTAATAATCTATTAAAATTAACCGATTCAGTGCGTTAGGCCCTGGAGGCCTAATATGTCCCGTGCATGTCTCATCGATAAATTAATTATAATGTAAGTTATTAGAGTTGCCAACCGATTCGAACAAATTAATGTACAACGAAAATAACAAAAAATAAAAAACCAAAATAAAAAATATCTAAACACAACTGTAACAAGCTTGATAATGTAATATTGTAATTCAATTTGGGCAATATTTATTATTTAATTTTAGAACTAGTGCATATTTTAGATTCGGTGTGCTTTAGAGAGAAAAGAGAGAATATATTAATGTGTTGAGAAGATACAACAAGGCAAAACACACTGAATTGGCTGTTAACTGAAAGTTTTGATTGCGAACGTTTGAAACGACCTGCTTTTGTGCCATCAACTGCATTTGCTGAAATAACTGTCTCTCCTCCTCCTTGCCAGCTAAAACAAACGCATCTTACATTTCACTGTTGATTATTTTTCTTTATTTTAAAATAATGTTCTCTTTAATTATCGCATTTTAAAATTGAGGTAAAATTTTTTACTTTTTAATTTATTAAAGAAATTAAGTGATAATTTGTTTTAATAAAAATACCTACCGACGCCTTTATTTTGAAGCATATCCAGCAACTTTTTTATACTTTCATCTCTGGATTGTAAAGTTTGTTTTTGAGTTTCTATTCTCAGTTCTAATTCCTAAATATTTGAATTTCATAATTTTCTTTTAGAAATAATATGACTGACTAGTATTACCTTGATCGTTTCTCGTAAAATGGCAACTTCCCTGGTAAGGTGGTCATTTTCATTTAATAATAATTCGACTTGCTGGGTAAGCTCCATGTTGGGTCCACGCATTCTCATCCTGAGTTCTTCTTCTAGTTGACGAACTAACATTGACTGTTTCTGCAATAATTATTAAAATAAAAAATTATAACTATATTTTTTTTTCAAAAAAATTCTTATAAAAAACAAATATGAATTTGTTTAGTGTTTTAATATAAATATTTTTTATATAAAACTATGAATAAATATTGTGAGATGCGAAACATTTCTTTTATTAATACATTACTCTTAAAGAATATATAATAACGTTTTTTTTTTATTTTGGCAAAATTAATATCTAATGAAAAAGTTTCATGGAGTCATTTACATAATTTAAATGTATTACTCTCATATATAGGCCCTTACTCAATGTTTTGTATTTGGTGATTGTCTAATCAACGGTCTCTTATAATTTTTATGTTATACAGTTATAAGTCAAAATACTTGAAATATTTATTAAAGATTCTTCCAATCACCTCGTTGTATGTACTAATAAAACTATTTATATAAATATATTCAAAATCAATAGATTATAGCAAAGAGCTGTTAAAAAAACTACGAAACATGTCACATTTTCTATAAAAAATAAGGTAGTCGCAAATCTAAATAATATATGATAAAAAAATTCATGTTTAAGATTCACAAGAAAATTATTTTACAACATATATATTATGTCAAAGATATTTTTACACAATGAAACATCTTTAGTGTAATAAAAAATGTTTCTAAAAGTGACGTTGTAATAATCTTGTTTGGCTTATATAAACGCTTATTTAATAGAATTTTATAGTACCAATATTAATTTAGTGACAATTCATGTTGAACCATTGTTCCTTAATTAAGTAAATATCATACTTGCACATGCGCATAGTTAAAAGAAAATAACTGAATTTATTAACATTATATTTTATTGTATTATATGTTCTTTCATCTTTATTACCACAATGATAATAAAAAAACAATATTTAGGTTTTTAACACAAGCGTTTTCTCAATAAAAACGACTGGTAGCAGGTATATCTAAAATTTCCTAATGTAACTTTATATCCTAAATTTCTTTTACAAAATTAATCTCATAAAATATATATTTATATATATTATTTCTCAATATACATTATTTCTAAAGTTAATAATTATTTAATTTCGTTTTTTAATTAAATTTGTGTAATATTCTAAGTAAGTTATTGTTTTTTAGTGTTTTTGATAACTAATATGGAAATTGTACTAACTAATAAGATAATATTATAAAGACTTAATATGTAATTTTCGTGGGAACTTCCACATCAAACACGCGAATAATTGTATGTGTAATAATTTTATTGTTCAATGTTGACTGATGGAAAGTTCAAGGTAATATTAGTGGTTTATTTTAATTTAAATGTTAAAAAAATTGAAATTTTTTCAGGTTTATACAAACTTCTAATGTATTTTGTATAGTTAATATTTTTCTAAAGCACTATTTGAACTGCGGTTATTATTAGTAGGTTCAAATATTCTTTTTTACATATAAGTTTTATTTATATGAAATTAATTTAATAAATAAAAATCTGGAACAATAAAAGATTACGTAAATAACAAAATATTTATAAGTAAAATGGTATGGAACTGTTTCATAAACTTAAATATAAGGGCTATATAGTAATAAATAAATATCTAAATTTGATTTGAAAAATAAAACATGTATTATTATACTTTTGACTTCAATTATTATCTTAATTTTTAGTTCATTTTATTTAATGTAACTTTTATTCGATTATTCACAGTTAAATTAAACTTAGTATAATTTGATACATCAAAATTAATTAATTAATGCTAACTACATTCGTGTTATATAACATATGAAAACATTTCATTATTAAAATTGACAGAACATATTTTGGAACTGTTAAATCATTTTAATTTGAGAATTTGATATTAAGATCTAATTGGGTCATTAGATTTTTATTGATAAAACGATTTAGTGCATGTATTATTTAATACAGTTGATAATGGTAAATGTTTACAAAATCGTTCACCAGTAATTAATATAATGTTACCAGCCAAATAGAGTCAATTTGTTATCAAATCTAAATTGGTATTTGATTAATTTCATAGTTTAGCCAAGCGTTCCAGCTGTAGTATTAGTAAAACTAGAATTAAGTTTATCCTAAACGCGAGTTATAGACTCCATTTTTGGATTAATCCAATGTAGTTCATTTGACCTAAATGTCGACTTGGCGTTCATGTACATAAAAATATAAAACATAATAGTTATTGTTTAAAATTAAAGTTATTTATAATTTCCTTTATTTAATCCCATTAAATCTATGGAAAATTGCACTATTTCTTTACTTATTAAAAAAAAAAAAAAAAATTAAGTAGTAAATCATCATAGACTTTTCCCGACTTCGAATGCTTAAAACTTCAATAAGAAACACACAATCTCAAATATGGAACTCATAATGTATAAATGCCTCATCAAATCCATTTTGATTTATGAACTCAAATTTAAATCGAATACAGACATTTTAAAATATTAAATTAACAATATTAACAAACTCGCCCTCATACGTATCAAATTACACTCTGACCTGACACTGACCTGAAAATTAAAACTGCCAAAGAACATCAATAAAAGATTCCACACTCGACTAGCTTTTCACTTCAATCTTCTAAAATAAAAGGTGTTTCGATTAAAATGTTATTCCTGATAATTTTCCGAGACGATTAAAGCACTAATGGTATAGAGATCTATTGATTTAACTTAAAATAAATAATAATTATAATTATCACTTAAAAGTATCATCAAAGGTGGCTTCTTTTATCAAGTATTCCTGATGTATTTTTATTTTTAGCCAATACTCTTTTTGTATATATTTGGTACATATTGTGTATATATTAACAAAATAAAAATAGTAGTAAAGAAATGGGAAAAAAAATCGTCAAGTTGTTTAACCATTCAATACTATAAAAAATACTTCTAACAATACTTTGAAATAAAATATTTATACATTTGGTCCATGACAATAGTGACAATGTCGACCTTATTTTGGTTGGTATGAATAACCCCGAGAAAGTGTATATAGCGCCGCCGTCTTTTACTTTAATCAATAGGCACAGTCAACTTTTAAAGACGAAACTAACGCCACGCTTACCGTTGCACCACACGTAATAATAATGTTTACTGGAAAATATGTGAACAAAATAATACTATTGTGAAAACTGAAATAGTATAACAATCATTGTATTAGGTGTATAACTGATGGTATTTTAAATTTCAATGGCATTTATATAATTACCCTATTCTTTCTATTATTTTAATATATTTTAAAATTTACAAAACAATGCAGTTAACTTTATTACTAGAATTTTAAATCTAAAGTTTGGTTAAATTTTATTTTGGTTTACATAGTTAGTAAAAAAAAAATCATGGAAAATCAAATAAATTTTGAACTTATGAATTTGTGTGTAATTGAAAAATTACAATTAAATACAATTAATTTATCAACTCATCATTTGGTTACATTGTGTATTGATATATAATTTGTTTTGCCATAGTGGTGGTAGATCAATAAATGTTGCTTTTAGCCATTAACATTTTTTACTCATTTGTACGAGGTATTGTACTATATAAAAAAAAAACAATGTAAAAATGTAGATACGGTGTTTAAATTAATATCCTACAAAATCACAATGTATACTTTCCATATACTTTTATATTCTTAAAAGTGACTAAATAAACAGTCATGATTTTTTATTTGCTATTTTCTTTGAAAAAATAGCATCATATTTAAAGCTTTACATAACAAATGATGGCAAACGAGGGGTTGAGCTGATATTGGAAAAAGCTTTTTCGACGATCGCCATAGTGGAGTATTAAACTCATTTGCATTTTAGAAAAAATAAATTATTGAGTTACTGTAGCTAGATTTTTTTCCTTGTAATTTCTAAGTTTTATTGAAATCTTTTAATGATTTTTTTTATTTTCATCAATTTTTAAAACTAGAATTTAACTAATATCATATTATGTTATATTATTTAAAATAATTAAACAATAAAAAATTTTCTACAATAATTAGTATTTAATTAATACTATTTATTTTGTAATAAACTATTTAGTTATTGAGGCCATACTGTGACTGTTGGCTAATAGGTTGGTATTATTTTGTTATTACAAGGAACATAAATGGTGTCTTTTCTTTGAAATAAACGTAAAAAAGATTATTTGATTATTAAAATGTGCTATAGCTATAGATGAATTGAGTAAATAAATCTTATAAACTTTAGAGCTTGGACAAAGGAGAAAGAGAAACTTGGCCTATAACGATTTTAAAATATATTTATTATTAAAAACTGTATTAGATAAAAAACCCTAAAAAATGCATTATCACACTATCGATTTATTAAAAGTATTATATTGAAAGCTAGCAAATTATTGAAAAATTAATATGTTTAAAATAGGAATAGAGCAAATTGGTAAAATATAATTTCCGGTAGTTCGAATGAAAACGTTACACAATGCTTAAATTAGTATCCGGCCGGCCCTCCATTGTGTATTATAGATCATGCAGTCGCAATCTCCGAGAATAGGCTCTGTATCTACTTCGTCATTGACACACACATAATCACTCACATGTGTGTGTGTGTGTGTTAGGGAAGCTACGGAAAATATAAATAATAAGAACACGTGTGTTTATTATTTTCAGCAACGTTTACTCAATGTGTGTCTGGAAAGCATCTTTGACATTATAAGTAACTTATGAAGTAGTGATTAATATTTGTCGTGTGAGATTCAATGCATTAGATCAATAAGTAATTTAATTTCAATACTTGTATGTTTCTAAATCTTACTCTGAAAACAATAGGGGAGAGTGACAGTTTGTCTCCCAATAGATAATGCCACTTACATTAATATCTGACTTTTGGTTTAACTGAATGAAATGTTGTCTAGACTAATAACCCCTTTTCAAAAACATATCTACAGAGTAGTCTGGATTAACCGTGCCCCTCTTAAATTTACCTAGGTCCGGCTTACCCACAACAAAATGCAATTATTTTTTTAATTATCAAGAAGAAGAAGAATTATCATAAACTTTTTTGTGATTGTGAAAAATGAAAAAAAAATTAAATATAGTAACATTAATGAAGGTACTTTATAAATTAAAAAGATTCTAGTTATAAAATACCAAATATAATAAGTTTAAGGATCCCCAAAAATGTTTGGTCCCCAATAAAAATTTTCTAACTACGTGCCACACCCCTTCGAAATTTCTTACTTGTATACATTTGAATTTTAACTTGGTTATTAATATTATATATGGAATTAAGTTTTTATAGGCTATTGATCTAATTATTCCGTTTGTCAATGTAATCTATTAATATTCATATATTTACTTAATTTATAAAGTATCACCCATTAAATACCATTGATTTTTATTGTTCACTAGAATTAAATATTTATAACCCTCGGTTTTAAAATTATAAGAATTAAATCACAAGAAAGTGTTATAGGGGCAAGACAACCCATTAAGAATTTACTTTTTTGATTGATCTATTTAACATTGGTTGAGCCATTAGTTACAATAATGATTTTTACAATATAATATATATGTGTGATTATGTGTACATTTTTAGAAATAATCATACAATTTTGTTTTTTTTAAACTCAATTATATTGTAATTATTATCTAAATAAGGATCCCAGTGTTGTGTACAAATTGTTATGATAAGATTAAATTGGATGATAAATTTTTCCAAAATATCCATGATAGGATACAGTCTGTAATTTTATATTTTATTCTCAGTGTCGTTTCACTATTTTAGCTTATTGGTAATTTTTTCTTGCACATAAAATACGCATGTGTGAATTTTGTGTCTTATTCGTAGGACTTTCTTTTTTGTTTAGATGTTTTAGAGCCATATTTTAAAATAAAACTTAATTATTGACCTCTAATCGTAACATCGAAGTAGAATTATATCAGTTATTAATGGCTTACTTTTTTATCAAATAATTCTACTGTGACAACGTATTTGAATTTGAAACTTTTCATTTCATGTATTTTTAAAATTGAATAACAACACATTTTTTTTAATAAAAAACCTATACTGCAAGTTATTTGACATTTTATACACTTAGAAATAATTTAAAATTACTTTTTCATTAATTTGAAAATCAAGAAATTAAGTTACATCGTTTTACCTACATGCTAATTTTATTACTCCCATACTAGCCTCTTATTAATAAGTTATATAGAAACTTTAAATTAGTTTCAAAAGTGAAACTTCGGATATATTATAACGATTGATTAATTAAAGTTAAAGAAATTAACAGCTAAAAACAATATTTGGACGCAAAAAATAGTTTAAAAATACCTATTTTTTTGTATTATTTAATTGTTGAAAAATGTTTGGCTCTTCCATAGTTAAAATTTCAAAATTTATAAACTTATAAGCGTACTATAATTATGTTATTTGAATCAAGATAATTGTGGCCTTTAGTATTTAAATTGGGACGTTTTTGCATATGCTAACTAATATATAGTATTTAATATTACTTCGTTTAAGAATATTCTCTTCGACGTGAAAATACATGGAAATTGTTTGAGGTGTGGCCATATGGGATTAATTGAACACATTGTTTATAAAAGAGAATTATAAAGAGGTGGGTATATTACGTTGATATAACTCGGTTATCAAATAAGACCATAAATGATGGAATATATTCACAGAAGTAGCTTTATCAAATAAACGTCGCTTAATTTAACCGGTTTTGTGTTTGTTCGGCTAGACACTTCATGTGTATCAAAAGGGTAATGACTGATGGAGGTCGAATTATGCGTACTAACTTCAACTATTGTCTTTAGTTATGTGTTGCGTATACAATTGGCCGAAGACAATTTTATTTTCTCATAGTCTTAATATGTATACGAATATAGGATCCTTAATTTTTTTATAACAATTTATAATACACACGTTAGAATTCTGACTAATGAAATAAAAAATAATTTTTATTTCATGAACTGTTTATTGATTTAAGAAATGTTTCGTTATACAACGTAAGGAGTCTTGAAAAAATGCAAGCGGACCGTACTAAAGCGATATTGTTGTGCGAGTGGATGAATTCTATTCACAACATGGAACAGCTACCATTTAAGAAAAAATAAAGAAAGAAAGATTTTGGGGTCCACAACTTATTGTACTTCAAAAATCTATGTGAAATTATCACAGGTGCTTGGTCAGGTGTTATTTGAATTCAGCATCAATACGAATGTATTGATTTTTTTTTTAATTTAAACTGTTNATCTATGTGAAATTATCACAGGTGCTTGGTCAGGTGTTATTTGAATTCAGCATCAATACGAATGTATTGATTTTTTTTTTAATTTAAACTGTTTGAATTTTAAAATTAAATTTATAAAATTATTTGCTTCAGTCAATAAGTTAATAAATATTATTTTGCTACACATCTGTTAAGTCTTTTTTAAGTCACATATTATGACATATTTTACAAAGCAAAATTCACAAAGAGGACTCTTGAAACTGTTCAGCTATAATATATTTTTTATAGATCTGATAGATGATCTAAAACGATATAATAATGACCACATATATATGCAATCTGAATGTTTCCAATGCCCCTACATGCATGTATTACGCCAATATGATATTTGTTATGGGTAAGGGTTAAGGTATAGTAAGTCTACTACAATTGAATTTATGCACTGTTTTGGAATCCATTTTGAAATGTTGTTTTAAGGAGTATTTTCTTTACTTATAACTTTTTTTAAATTAAAATTTTAAATAAAATTACTTAGTAGAACCATACCTGATTTTCAGAATGAAGTAGTTTAAGTTGATCATTGATAAGAGAGTACTTTGCAGACTCTTCTTTGCGAAGCGCTCGCTCTTTTTTTAATTCAGGACTCCAGAACGTTTTTATACTGTGCATGCTAGATCCGAGCTTTTGATTGGTGAGTTCCAGTTCTTTTTTTAAATTAGATAGTTCTCGATGCAAGTCCGTATTTTGATGCTGTAATTCGCCTAGAAAATGGCCAGTTTCGCGAGCGTTGGACATGAAATGGCCACCACCTGGCGACTGTCGGGATCGGGAAGTCACAGGGCCGTATGGATCGTCATCGGTGGATGTAAACCCGTAACCTCCGCGGTCTCTATCAAACGACCTGTAGTCCCGGTCGTGATACCCGCTCGTATCTGTAAGAATACCACCGCCAGTATTACGATCCAGGGACTGGTATCGAGATGGTGGCATAACACCCATTCGATCAGATGGACGACTAGCACTTCGCGAACGATGCGATGCACCACCTGGTCCCATTGAACGACCTCGTTCGTCCAACAGTACGGGGCTGTTGAGATCGTCGTCTCTACCGTAATACGAACCGGTCATACCGCCACCTCCATTTATGCCATTAGTTTGATACGGATTGTGGTGATCCGGTGATCCAGCACCCGGGCGTACGGTCCTACGGCCTACCGGGCTGTTTCGCTGACCACCACTTCCCGTCGGATACGTCCTGGAAGGCGAACGATCCACGGTCGGAAGTTCGGTAGCTATGCGTCTAGTACCCCGCGGTGACCTAGTGCCCGTTGGGACCAACGACGATCCCGGCCCATACGGTTCCCTAACCGACATGTTGTTTCGATTACTTAAAGTCTATACGATCATCATGCACAATTCCGCACACAAACTCACACTAAACGACTTTCGGTAATCGGCAGTGGTCGCTGTTGCACACGCGCGTGCCCTTAACTCACTCAAGCAGTCGGTACGAAAAACACGGGCGGATACACTACACTTACGCAGTACGCGCGCGCGCAACACCAAACAGCACACGACTGCTACAACGCGCAACCGGACGGCACACCGAGGCCAGCTGCTGCTCCCTGATCAATGAAGACCCCTTCGAGTCACCGCCGCGACCAATCATCACCTCCACCCGTTCTCCTGCTGGGTACTATCAGCCTGCGCGTTGCAAATACACCACCACCACCACCACCATTTATTATTTACAAGGGCGGATCATACTGTCTGAGAGAACTTGGTTTTTTAATACATATGATTTTTTTCATACAGAAATCTATGACCTAATTTTGTTTAAACGTTAACTAGTATCAAAAATAATATTTATACTAAAATCTAAAAATCGCATTATAAAAATTATTGAATATAAGTTTTAAAAAGCAATGAAAACATAGAAATCGATATTGTTACAAATATAAGTATGTTTAGTTGTGGCGGATCCGATAAACGGATGTAAAAATAGAAAGACACTAGGGTTGAAACATAAACAAAATACCATTAAACGTTAACAATTTTAGATTTAAAGGAAATATTGAGCCTATTGAAATATACATTTGAATTTTCAATAGCTTTTGAAATACAATTGTTTGAATAAAACAAATTTGATTAGATTCAATAATATTATTAAAAATAAAACATGTTTAATATAGGAAACCATTGAAATAAAATTATTTTCGTCACTCAACTGCAAAATCCCATAATTTTTAGAAAATACTATAACATTTTAAAAACATGTTTAATTTTTTTAATCAAAGTTTAAAATAAAAAAAATTTTAAAATTCAATATTTATGTATGGTACTTAAATCACAAGCATATACTTATCAACAGTGGTTCTAAACCATTGTCTCCTGGATAATGTATCTTATTACTATATCATAATAAGTAATTTAGAATTTACTTTTCTGAAATTTTGCAATTCAATTACGTTTAATATTACAAATTAGATTGCCTGCGTTAGACTAACCTATATACAAGTAAATGAGTGATAACAGTAAATTTTTCTCTTTAATAAATAATAGTATAACGTGCCAATCAAATATTTAATATGATCTTGATCGATTTAAAATAATGTAATTATAATTAATATTAGGACATTATAATGTCCTACAGTTTTAGTTTTATAAAATATTGCGTTAAATATAATAATTGATGAACTATCAACATTCCATCATGAATTGAGGATGTGGGTACAATGACACTTATCGAAAATACCTAATAAAAAAATGTTTAATGATCTTTTGACAAATAGTTGATTTCATAAATATCATTTCGTACCTTTTCAAACTGTCATCTGTCAGCACTATATTTTAAATACGCATAAACATATCTTAATTAAATGAATTACATTGCATATTATAAGCTACTTAGTTATCTGATGTAACATTTATCTAATATGTAAGTACAGTTTTGCTTCCATTAGCAAAAGCCATAAATAGTTTTGAAATTTCATGAAATAATATAAGTAAGACTAGAATATTTTGTTGAAACTAAAATTCAGCAATAGGCAACGCAAGTAGTACACTAAGATATATTACATATTTTGAAAATTCATATTATGATCAAAATTTTCATAAAAAATGTAATTTCATAATTTCCTTAGAAATTTAATGATGTCAAAACTAAACAAATAATTTTATGGAATTTTTTAAAAACAACTAAAATATATTTTATTAAAATATGAATTATATAATATTCTTATAATTTTTTTGATATATATATATATATATGCATTTTAAACAATTTATGGTTTTTAGAGAATTATCATTTAAGTTGGATAATTATTATTACTTAAATTGTTTTCTTCTCAACCCTATCTACATTAAATTTGTAACATAAATTATGATTTTTTTAATTATTCTCGATAGAATCTTATGAAGTTTTGTGTTCAAAATTAAATATTAATCACTTTACTTACACTTTTGCGTTGTTAGTATAGTTTGTTAAAATGTACGACACTACTCCTGAACAATAGTTATAACATTTCATTGTAAGCTTACAAAAAAACAACTCAAATCAGTATTTTATGTTAAAATATTATTCATAGGGAAAAAACAGTGTAGATTAACGAAAGATATGATCTCTATATTGTTATTCAGATTCATACGGTAGAAAATTGACTTCTACAAATACAATATGATATTATCACTTAATTTAAGAATAAAATTAATTTGAAATTCAAATTGTATTTAAAAAACTACAATAACAGGGCTTTTATTATACTATTATTGCGTAATTGACGGGTGCAATGCAATAACCTGCAGAGATGCCAGAATCAGTAGGAAGGGGCAAGTAGCTCCTGTAATCAAAACACAAAAGGGCAAATGTATGTTCCCCTCTAAATTAAACAATAAGATTATACTTAAAAGGAAATTATTGCTGATAAATATTGTTAAGTTAAAAAAAAATTTTATCAAAAAAATAATCGTTTACTATAGATTTTAGATTTTGTGATTATTCCATAGTTTATTTTTATTATTATTTTATTATAGATTGTTACTAGGCAAATTTTACTGACCAAAGTAAAATTGCAATCAAATTTTGCCAAAGATTAAATTAGGGTTTTTTTCAGTATTTCATTTATATACTTTTAAATTTTAATGTAGTCGTTTTATGTTATTTTAATGAAGTTTGCTTAAAATTATAACAATAAAAAAAAAATTTGCAATTAATCCTATTAACTATATTTTAGTATATTATCAATAATCATTGTATTAATAATTATTGTTGTTAAAAAAAACCTGTTTAAAACGTCCTAAATGACGAATGCAAATTTTTTATTTTTGATATTTTAAACATTGTTATTAATATTATAGCAAATAATAATATGCATTATTAAAGGTAAAGTTTATATACCACCGGATTTTTTTTAAACATATGATCACTAAAAACTTTAACAGCATTTTTAACATAATAACAATCAAGAGGACCTAATTTTAGTCATTTTTATACCTCCAAATAAAAAATAGTTCCGGCGCCTCGAATAATATGTTATTTCTATTTATTTTTTTCATAAGGTGGATTTATCATTCTAACCCTTAGGTGTGTTCACTGAGTATTTTTATTCACTAAAAATAAAAACGCAGGCATTATCAGACATTAATTTAATAAAAATTTATCACTATATTGTTTAAAATTAAAACTTTATTAAAAATATTATTAACTTAATATTAAAAAATATTTAATTCAAAAGCCATAAAAACAAAAAAAAAAATGCTTAAAAAACCTTGGATTTTTCGGAACACAATGTTACATTGTAAAATTGTTACAATCATCCACACTTAACACATACTCTGTTAATCTCATTAATCTCTGCATTTTCGCAGAGATTAGAGGCGTCGCCGTTTTCTGTCAAAATGACCTCTCTCTCTCTCTCTTATTAGAAAGATAGATTTCCGCTAATATAAGTTTAAATAATTTTCCAAATATTTCTTAAAGAATTCTTGCTTTATAATGTGTTATTAATCGTATAAAATAAGAATAATATTAAGAAGCAAAATATTATAATAATAAATAATTTCAATACCACATAATAATATTACTTTTAAATGGTTATATTAAAAATTTAAGTAATTTATTAATAGTGATTATCAATATTTTCTCGCATAATTTCGTATTGGAAATATTAAAATAAAAAAAATTAAAATAGCGCAATGAAAGATTGAACAGAATCATTACATACTGAATATTGATAAACTAATAGTATCATTAAGTCATCAAAAATATATTAAAAGGTTCATCGGTAGTTATTTAATTTTTAAATTTGTTAAAAAAGTGTCTTTTTTGTTTAATAATAATCTATTTTGTATTAAAAAAATGTATTTTATATAGAACTTTAAACAAAATAAAATATTTTTACTGACAAACGTTATATGTCTAATTGAAAGTAGTATATTCATATTGGAAGTATACTATATGTGTAAAAATTTTTGTCGTATTATTGTGCCGATTTTAGAATCTAACCAGCCTATTGTAGGGGAAACCGAAAATAGAGATAGCATGAGTTTTATCAATTTTATTGTAAAACATGTTTTAGTGTAGTAATATTAATTTATACCTATACATTTGTACACTACGAATAGATACAATCTATGTACATTATACACGTAGTGTTATTTATTTTTTTAGATTTTCAGATTCAGCGGTTCTTATTAATAAATATAAATAGAAATAATATTTCTATATGATCAGTAGGTCATAGAATACTATAAGATATAACGGATTATAGTTCTGAATTTCAATTGTAGCATCTATATAAACAATCAGAATTTTATAGAAATGATTGTTATGATTTATTGAGATCATTTATTTCAGTAATAATGCAAAAAATGTATGATAAATTTAAGTAATATAAATACCGAAAAACAGTGATTTTTATACTAAAATAATATGTTTGTCTAACTTCGGGGACCGTTTACATACAGAAGACAAGTCGTCGGATCAAATTTTTTGTCTTTAACTTATTCTTTGTATCAAGCTTTATTTTAACATACATTTGAAGCTCGGAGAATTTCCGTAACATTTTTAAAAATTAAGTTTAAAAAGTTGTTTTTATCTATTACTGTGGGCAGGTATAAGGTCAGATATATAAAAAATTTATACCAAATGAATGGAAAATACCTAAGGCAATTAAACAAAAAAAAATATTTTTAAAAAAGTTATAGTAGTTTTAAGATAAATAAGTTTAATAAAAACTAAGCTAAAAACATACTAGAATATATATAGTCCCATCATGGTTTACTAGATTGACTATAAATTAATATTAAAATTAGTAAGTCGTGGAAAGGCACTCTATATATATAATTAATATTTTTAATTTTTTAAAAATAAATAATAGCAAAATAAGAAACGTATGCATGTTATATAAATGATATACATTTATTATATTATATAATAATATACTTATTAATTTACATTTTCTGAAAATAGCTCAAATGCGTTATGTTTAGAAATATTACAGCTAGATAGCACCAGATTTCTATATAAAATTAAGTCAAGTTTTAATATTAGAAACAAGGGCTTCATAAAAAAAAATGTAGTATTTTGAAGTAACTATATTTCTCAATAAATAAAAAGTAAGTTTATACTTTTAGCTAGATCCTCTATTTATACCTTACCAATTAGAATTTTTATATTTGATGCGAAACATAGAAGGTAATCATTTTATCATAATGTGTTTATACGCAAAGAATAATTTATTTATCACGAATATTTTAATTAATCCAAAAATAAAATTTATCTACAATTTTTTTATTGGTTTTTTTTTGTTACATAATTTTATCAATCTATCAGTTAAATTTATTATAAATTACTTTTTATGTTCAAGGATTGAACATACAAATATTTCATGAGTTTATAAATACGGTTTTTGGCTCTACTGAAAGTTTATTGCTGTGGACTTTCGGTTTACTAAATTATTAAAAATCTATTTTAAAAAAAGACTCAACAAATATTTTAAAATAATCATTATTTTGTAATTACATAATAATATTACTAAATTATGATAAAATCGTTTATTATAACGTAATACGTTGTAATTAATAATAATTATTATTGGGTGGGGTTTATTTATCTCTAATAAAAAAATTAATACGTACTCAATGTAATCGATTATTATTTTTTACTATGTAAATTATACTGTTCGTTTTTTAACTAAAATGTTTTAAACAAGACTTGAAAAAACATAATAGTACATACAAAACGAATTACGATCTATCGAAAAAAAAATTAAGGTAAATAATATTACATTACTAATTTGAATATTTTGTGTGTTAATTGTTCCATTATTTTTAATAATATTTTATAACATATATTATTGTTTATTTAATTCATTACGCATAATATAATTACTATACTAGCGCACTAAAATATATTTTCATACTATGGGTATTAGGACGACGTAAAAAAAAATGATAAAAAGTTTGAATTAATAATTGTAATAAAGAAATTAATTATAGTCGATTAATTGACTAAAATTTTGACATTTTGCCAAAAGTATAAATAATTTTGAGTGTAATACAATTAATATTCATTATATTTTAAAACTGATGATTTTGTTATAATCGTAAAAAGTTTTTCTTTCATTTGGTTAGCACACCAAATTTAAGTTTGTATAATAAATGTTTACAATTATTTTAATAATGAATAATTTTTTTTATACTTCAAATAAAAATATGAATTTTTTTTATTATTAATCAATTTTAGTCTTTAATGGTACTCAATTAATAATATTTTATAAATAAAAATTTTATAAATGTGTTTTGAATACTTATCTATATATTATTATACAATACCTGACATTAGTATTATTTGGTATATCAACATATATACAATTTCACATATCCATATACAATTGAATTTTTTTTTTTAACAAAAAATTTTTAATTTATAAAATTTGAACAAGATTAACATTTTAATAATGAACATTGTTATTTGTATGAGTGTTGTATGCTTCTCAGTTAGAGTCCTTAGTTGTAGACTACTAGTACCCTTACTATGATGCAGGTTTATTTGCGTGAATTGAATTTTATTATCAGCCATTCAGGAAACTGAAGTTGACACTTTAAAAACACGTTGACTGGATGTGAACGTGTTGTTGACAGGTATTTGAAACAGACCCAGTATCACACAACCCTCCCTTCAGGTGAGGTTCCCTCGTCATCCTCAGGTGGCAACCGTTCCATTTATTTGCTCTCCACATTTACCTTTGGATCTGTGAAGAGGATCCTCTCAGCTATGGCCGTGATAGAGGTAGACGGTTTCCCGGGTCCCTTTCCCTTACGTGACCCACTTTTTTTGGTAAGTTCTTCTGCCCCTCCATAATTGTCCGGTTCCTTTTAAATTTGTCAACTACTGCTCCCAGTTGATCTTGTGACTCCTAGTCTGGATTTGTTGATATTGCTGTATTTTTGCTAGTGGACGGTTCACTAGGTGCCCTGTTATTCGCATTGAGACTCCAAGTTCAACGATTCTTCTGTATGGTCATTTGTTATGGCTAATTGTTTGACTCAATTCAGTCCCAAAATATAATTTTTGTTTTCTTTCCAAATTTCTGGTAACTTACTTAAGAATTTAGAATTTGTATTCATATTCTAAAAACAAATATTAGGTGTTTTTTTGAAAAATGGAAGAATCAATTAAATTTTTTTGATAAATACCTTTGATACCTTTCAGTATATACAGGGTGTTCAGTAAGTCAGGAAACGGGTTTCTATTGTTCTCATTGTCTGTAACAATGAGAACAATAGAAACCCGTTTCCTGACTTACTGAACACCCTGTATATATATATTTTTGAAAATTTGGTTAATAACAACAACTTTTATACCAGTACTTATACGAGTCTTACTAACCTGTAATATTTTTATACATAGGCAAGTGAGAAGATGCGGTCGAGAAATGTATAATGATAAATATTATTGTACTTACGTCTTACCTTCCAGTTAATATTTAAAAATGGCAATAACTTCCGAAATAATGATCTAAAAGTTGTTATCGACCATTCATTGTCTTAATTAGTTCATTTTTTATTTTATAACCTAAATAAATATGTATGTTACCATTTAAAAAAAATAAATATGACACCCTTATAAAGTTTAAGGTATAAATTAAAACAGTTATTAATAACTGATGAATTAATAAATATATGAAACCAAAAAAAAAAATAAAAATAATTTTTTTAACATAATTATTATTTCAAGAGAAATCGAGTGGCTAGCGTTAAAAAATTACCTGTATTAGTTAAACTTTATAAGAGCAATTATTGGGTCCTAATAAAAAGTATTGCATTTAACTTATTAAATAAAAATTAACAGCCCAATAATTAACAATTTTTTTGTTTTTTTTATATGCTTTTAATACATATATGTAATAAAAGATTTTCAGTAGTATAGTCATGTTAAAAAATTTAAATTATATCTAGTATGTTACAATTATCTATATATTTTTCAATAAGTTATACTAGTATTTTTATTACTTTATTTTAATATAAAATTAAAGCTGGTAAAAACTTTATTTATTCCTTGTCATTCCAATAATGAAAAAGATACATACAAGGATTAACTAAAATAATCGTAATTACTCGTGTAGAATCACAAAATAATATTAAAAGTTATTCAGTTTCAATGATTTTATTATTAAATTAAAAAAAAATAAAGCAAACAAAAATAACATGCTGACATGTCTAGAGCCCTCAATTTAGTGGAAACCCGGTGCTAAGTCCCATATTTTTTAATGTTATTATTGGAAGTTGCAGCAATTCATCATTAATTTTCTAGTTGAAAAATAAAACACGTTTTTGAAGTCCTAAGGTAAAACGTTGAGCAATAAAAAAATTATTTCAAATTAAAAACTTTTCCAAAAATATATCCATCTTGCATGACTATAAATAATTATAATAATTAATTATCTGTTTCCTTGAAGGAATCATTATGTTGTTAAATTATTAACTTTAAAATTTCAACATGTGAGCAGCCGGATTGTATGACACTGAATGCCATGTATACGTCTACAGTGTTGGACTAGATAAGTCCTGTGTATTATATGACCTTTCTAATATTCATTGAAAGATAAAATAGGCATATTACATTTGTTGTACTATAAAGATAACCAAGAGAAGTTCGTCGGCCAATATCTATTTATAATTAATAATATTGACATAGTTTATTTATGTATATATATATATATATATATGTTCTCATAAGTGTTTATTATAAGATTATTCTTCAGTAAACTTCTCCGCGGTAGCAATTTTTTAATATTATTCAACTGGTAACATCTACAAAAACTTCAATGTTTTACTTTAAACGTATTTACCTCACGATTTTAGCTTCGATGTGAAGCTAAGAAGTTGTTAATTTTACTATAAAGTTTTTTTTTTTTTTTTGGTGTCTGTTACCACTTTTTCTCAGCTCTCACTAAACCCTACCGACTTCTTTCAACGATACGTTAAGAGATCACAAATCATATCTAAACGAAGACATTACCCTCAAAAATTGAAAAAATTTCCCTCGTCCCCAATTAAATGGGGGAAATTCCCAAAAAAATTATAAATTTAAAAATCGCTAATTTCTGACATTTTTAAAATTTTTTTTACTTAAAACTGCCATAACTTTTGAAAAAAATGACCAAATCAATTAAATTTTTTATTATAGATGTATAATGTCTTTAACTATTATTTGATATATTTTTTTTATAAATTTGACTCTTTATCTGCCCACAGATCGGGATTTAAAACGACAACTTTTTCACAAAAAATTAACATTTTTAACTTAACTTTTTAAAAGTTTTCCGAAAAGTCTGACATTTTTATATATATCTTAAATTAAAGCTAATGTAATGTACTTTATTATGGAAAAAATTCGGACTTTATTTTGTCTTCACGGTGAAAATGGCTTCCGAATGCTATTATTGTGTGAAAATTCTCAATTTTATTTTTTTCATTTTTTACTTTATAATACTATAACATATTGAAAAGTGTATGGATCAACACACATTTTTTATGAGAAATAATATTTATATCCCTTTTTCATTCGACATACTTTATTTTAATCAAGATATTAATAAGGAACTAGCAGATCATGTAGCTGTTGGAATAATCCACCAATTTTTTAAAATTAAACACTATCTAAAGATTTTCATGGAAGCGTTTTTTTTATAGTGATTTTAATTACTGTCAGATATCGTTATACTTGATCCAACTATGCCACGTCACCACTGTGCCGCGACCCTCCTGGGCTGTTTTAAAAATGACATCACATAATAATAAAAAATTTTAAATTACACAATGAAAGGTGTAATTAATTATTCATAAACGTTAAAATGTTAAATTAACTTTAAGAGCTTATTTAACAATTGTAGAGAAGTAATGTTACTAATTTTGTGGACAAGGTAAGTATTATTATAGCTTAATAAATATCTCTTTCAAATTTAAATTTAAATAAGTCCAAATGTGCTAATATAATCAAACATGTATTTCAGATGAAATTGATTGGCTCATTAGTATATTTTGGAGTAATAACTTTTGTTCACAGTGCTGAAATATTGTCTGTTTTGCCATTATTTGGTCAAAGTCACTGGAACGTTATAGATTCTATTTTACAAACACTGGTTTCAAGTGGTCATAATGTAACCGCTATAACTCCATTTTTAAAAAAAAAAAAAATTTATAATTACACAGAGGTAAATATAATTATAAAATTAAGTGTATAATATACATATTATTCACTAAGTATACAGAATGGAACAGATCTAACTAACAACTCATATAACCTATGATCTACATAACATTTTGTACTTTTTTTTTTTCAATCAATTTTTACAATATAGATTTTTAATTAAAATATGCTTTATGTTATTTTTCGCAATTACAATAAATATTTTAAAAATAATTTTTTTTTAAGATTTGAAGATCATTCTGTAGATAAGTTTAAAAAAAAAAATTTGGTACCAAATACTCTTATTTTAATTCAGTAGTTACGTTTATACAGTATTTTGAAGTTTGTTAAATTTTGATTTTTTATACAATTTTCCTATGGTATCAAATGTTAGTCCTTATCATGTAAAGTACAGAAGTAAACACTTATTACGTTATTTACTTGTAACAGTAAGCGATTTCTTTTCCATGGATAATAATAAAGTTTAAAGGGATTGATACAGGAATGTATATTATCTTTAATCTTTTTTACAAAAGTTAGAAACATTATCGTATGTCAACTACGAGTGTTGCATGGTTAGCCAAGTTAAAAATGATAACAATTATTAATTTGCGTGATTCTATCATTGTAAATATATTATAATAGGATATTCTTTGTTAGGAGATTTGGTAATAAATGCATTTATTCACTATTATTCACGTTTAAATTTATGATATCTAAACTTATTTAATTAAAAGCTCATCATGTTTTAGACAATGTTTCTATAGTTTTAGCTGTGTTTTTTTTTTTGTCTGTTGCCACTTTTTCACAGCACTCACTGGACGGATTTTGATAAACAATATGTAAAAAGATCAAAAATCGTATCTAGTTGAAGACATTACCCTTAAAAATTGAAAAAATTTACTGCGTTCCCCGTAAATGGGGGAAATCTCCAAAAAAATTACAATTTTTAAAATCGATAAATTTTGTTAATTTTTTTCACTTTTTTTTCTTATAACTACTACACCTTTTTCAAAAATTAACAAATCAACATAATTTTTCTTATATTGAAACCTTAGATATTTCCCTTTCATTTGATATAATTTTTTTTTTTGAAAATCTAACACTTAACCTGCTTACAAGGGAGATTATTTTTTTAATTACTCTACGGTACTTTTTATTGAGACGATCATAAATCTTAATCAATACAATCAATGGATTATCAAAATTATAAATATACGATTTTACTAATTAATATATATATACTATTACAATATAAATGGAACTTACACTTCCAGTGAAGTGGTCCCTAACTTAGTCTAATAATACTAAATAATATTTAAATTGTAAAATAAATATTTATAAATTTAAACCAAGTCATAAGGCTTGACGCGTTTTAAACGTCTTAGGTCATTGGAATTGTCCTATAGTTGAATTGCCCTTATATTTTCATGATTTTCCAACCTTATTATATGATTACATGCAAACCGAGTGACTTCATCTGCTACGGTTGGTAACATCATATCTCGATGAATTACATAATTTCTATCGAAATTGTAAGCCGCGACGGTTGTACGAATTGCGATATTTTGACAACGTTGTACAACATCTATGTTGGATTTACTGGCACAACCCCACAACTGAATACCAAAAGTTCAGACAGATTTTATGAACGCTACGTATAACAGACGTTTGTTCTCTAGTGATAGCTCATAGTGTTTTCCATCTAACCAATAGAGTCCGCGCATTTTATCCTTTATATGCAATCTTTTCTGGCATACATGATGTATCCAGTAGAGGCGGCAGTCAAGGTGCATTCCCAGATATTTAGCCAAATCTCTCTGTGGGATTTTTTGTTGATTCAGAAATATTGGAATATCACATGTTTTACGTAACGTGAAATTTACGTGCACTGACTTTTCAGTGTTAACAATCCTCACAGGGAGGATTTAAAATAGCAACTTTATTACAAAAACTAACTTTATCAACTTAACTTTTGAAAATGTTCCGGAAATACTGCGTCCTTTTAACATACATCGAATTAAAGCTTATGTCATGTACTATAAAATCAAAAAAAAAATTTGTCCCGACGACTTATCTTTTATGTGCAAATAGCTGCCGTAGCTAAAATCATGCTATTTTTGTATTAAAATTTTTGATTTTCGATTTTATGTTTTCAAGTTTAAGGTGCTAAAACTTTTTGAAAAATGTATGTATCAACACAATTTTTTTTTTATAAACACTTTATGTTTACTTCTTTTATTTGACATACTTTTTTTTATATTGGATCATTTTTATTTTTACAGGCGGGGCTTAAAACTTGAAACATACGTATAAAAAGTAGAACTTTTTCAATTTAACTTTTGAAAATGTTCCGGAAATACTGCATCTTTTAAACATACGTCAAATTAAAGTTTATATTACGCATTATAAACTGAAAAAAAAATTTGTCTCGTCATCTTCTATGTGCAACTTCTATCGTGATGTTTTTTGAACTTAAAACTGCCATAACTTTTTGAAAAATGAATAAATTAAAATAATTGATTTTTATATTGAAACTTTAGACATTTTACTTTTATTTAATAATAATAATATAATTTATTTGAAAATCTGACTAAACCGTCCACAGGGGAGATTCAAAAGAGCAATTTTTGCACACAAGTTTAGCTTTTTCAATTTAATTTTTAAAAATATTCCGGAAATATTGACACTTTTATTTAATCTTAAATTAAAATTTATGTAATATACTTTACTATAAAAAAAATAAAATTCGAAATAAATATTTTCTTTTTGGTAAAAAAGGGTACCGTATTCAAAAATATGCTATTTTTGTGTTCAAATTCTGGGTATTGAATTTTAAAATATCTTACAATGACTATCATGAATATTATATAATTTAATTGATATAGAATATAAATTTTAACTTTAAACTTTAATTTTTTTCCTTTTTTTAAGTTATATGAGTTGTTAGTTAGATCTGTTCTACTGTGTATACTATACAAGAAGTTTCCTTTATCATAATATAGTATATTAATTACAAAATAAAAGTAATTTCGGAAATTTTTTTTTTTAATGTAGTATCTTTTCATGATTACTGTGTATACATATGATGATAATGTGTATTCATTACAAACATGGCATTAATACCATGATAAGAAATTAGATAAGGCAATTATTACTTATCACTCTCATTCAAAACTATATTGAAAATATAGCGTTTTCTTCTGTCATTTTCTCAATACGTATTTCAATGTTTAATACCGTAAAATAATACATGAAAATTCAAATTTTCACAAACTTCAAAACGCTACAGAATATTTACTACTGAATATTAATAAGATATGTTTTTACTAAAATTTTTCTTAAATTCTACTCTACAAAATAGCTATCTTAGGTTTTTTTTTACTTTTTATTTAAAATTTAAAAATAATTAATATTTTTAATGAAATGTAAAAAAAATAATTATTGAGATATAGCTATAGACCTAACGTATAACTATTATTAAAAAAAAAAAAATCAGCTAAAAATATTAACTGGATCAAAAGTTATTTAAGTTGTCAGTGAGTGGTGGGCCTCTGTATATTTTTAAGTAAAACCAACATTTTATTAGCTTCGATGTAAATCTAAGAAAGTATTAATATTACTACAATAATTGTTTATTCACTATTTTTTTGTGTTTGTCGCCACTTTTTCTCAGGTCTCACTGTACCAATTATGCTTAATAATTTATCAAAAAATCACAATGTCATCAACAAAACATGAATGTCGTATCTAGTTAAAGCCATCTCTTTCAAAAATCTAAAGAATTTCTCTCATAATTTTTAAATGGGTAAATCCATGCAAGAAATACGATTTTTGATATCAATAAATTATTTTTCCTTAAAATTGCAATAAGTTTTTTTAAAAATGATTGAATCAAAATAATTTTTTTATAAATATATAAGGTTTTGAAATATGATTGTCTATGTCTTAGGTAAAATTATATATTCATATAGGAAGGGAGGTAATAAACCTCATTTGACCACTTTTTATACAAAAAACAATTAAATATGATTTTTGTGTTAAATCCCTAAAAAAAAAATACTATATATAGATTTACATTAAAGAATATTTATATAATTTTATCCTCTTTCAGATATAATTTATACTTATCCCAATTATTCTGCGTAGTCAAGTGCTAGGTTTCTTTAATTTATGTATTATTAAAGTATAATTAAAACTATTTTAGTTTTTGAAAGCATTTTCTTCCAAATACTAAAATAGGAAAGAATAAATTTTAATTAAATTTAGATTTCTTTAATAAAATTTAATATAACAATTTTTAAAAAATATTTTTGATAACCATAAATTCTTTAATTAATATGTATGCTTAAAAAGGCTGTTTTACAAACATAATTCTTACACTATAAGTAAAGTTTTAAAACCTATTAATTATAATAATACTTATATGAGTAATTAATAACAAATACTTTTCTTTGACTTAAATTTAATAACAAGGTAGTTTTGTATTTAACTATTAATTATACAATAATAGCCAATTCATAATATAAATATGTATTAAAAAAATAAATAAATTACAAAATTTTACAGATAGACTCGTCTTCGTACATGAATAAAATTGAGGCAATAAATTATAATCTCGTTGCTGATGATAACGGTTATAGTTATTTAAACGCTGCACATCTAAAATCATGCGAAAATTTATACAAATCAAAAGATTTTTGGAAGACACTGGAAAATCATAAATTTGATTTGGTTATTGGTCATTTTTTAGCATCTACTTGTTATTCCTACATAGCGTATAAACTCCAAGTACCGATGATTTATGTGACCTCAGACGCAATGAATGCTAGGTATCAATATCCTTATGTAAATTAATATGTTTGGTTATTTTATTAGTTTCTATTAGTTATTTTTTTTATTTGAAGGTTGCATTCATTGTTGGTAAATCCACTAAACCCTTCATATATAGCATCGCCGAATATACCTATGGCACTGCCTACAAGTTTTTGTCAAAGACTAGAAAATTTTTTTAATAAGATGTATGTGAATATTTATTATTGGTGGTTAGACAGAAAAGCAACTACCATAGGAAAAACTTACTTTGGTAAAAACGCACCAGATGCAAGTTCCTTGTTTAAAAGCACAACTGTTTTAATGTTCATCAACAGCTATTTTACATTTGAAACATCTAGACCAATGATTCCAAATTTAATACAAATTGGGGGGATCCACGTATCCCAGCCCAAACCTTTACCGGAGGTAATAAAAATTATCTATAATTAAAAATATAATAACAAATCATATGAAAATCATTATTTTTATAGCAAATAAAAAAAAAATATATTTTTATCTGCAATCAAATCTAGTTTTCTCGTATAGGATAACTCGTCTAGTTTTCGAACAATTAAGGATATATTGAACTTTAAAATTATATTACGGATTTATTATTACAAATTAACTTTAATATCTAGATATAAAACTAATAATTTTATCTTCTTCTAAGTTTTAATACTTTTTTCGATATAAAATACTAGATTGATTTAAATTAAAAGTATGAGAAGTCCTGTTATTAATGAAATTGTAATTGTTCATAACATTATAGAGTCTTCAATGAGTAACAAAAAAAGGATTCTATTGTTTTCACTGTTTGTGACAATTGAACTGTTACCTTATTTTTTGAATAGCCTGCAAAAATGTCAACGTATGTGTTTTAAATTTTGCTATTACAGTTAATCATTACAAATTACCTAAATTATACAACCTCAATTTTTGAGAGTTAACATTTTTAAGTAATACCAATGATGTTCACTTATTGGTGGGTGTTCAGTAACTGAACCAGTTACCCTAGTTTCATTAAAAATAATAACTAGGATTTAGATTTATAAATAGGAAATGGAAACCTTTGTTTTTATTAGCCATAAATGTAATTAATAGGTATAGTGAGGAATTTAGCTCTCCAGTTGAAGAATCAGTTCCCAGAAATGTAGAATATTTTATGGATATATTGTAATACCACCTTGATCAAAAAGTTCCCGGAATTTATTCAGAAAATTAAAAATACAAGTTTATTCATCTAAATCTATATTGTCCCCTTCAAAGTAATCCCCATCGACTGCAACACACATATGCCAGCGCTTGATCCAATCCTCGAAACATTTTTTATACTCGGTTTTTGGTATGTCCATCAGTGCTTCCTGCGATTTTTCCATTACTTCCTCTCGGCTGCTGAATCGCGTTCCCCGTAATGGTTTTTTAACTCGATTGAATAGAAAGAAGTCACAGGGAGCCAAATCAGGTGAATTCGGTGGCTGTTGGATAGTATTTGTTGCATTTTTCGTCAAAAAATTACGAATAATGATGGCACTATGTGACGGTGCGTTATCATGATGCAAAATCCACGAGTTTTCTGCCCACAATTCTGGTCTCTTTCGGCAATTTGCTTCACGCAAACGTCTCATAACGCCCAAATAATATTCTTTGTTTACTGTCTGGTCTTTTGGCAAAAATTCATGATGTACTACACCGTTGTAATCCATGAAAACCGTAAGCATAGCCTTCTTTTTTGACTGAAAACGACGTGGTTTTTTTGGTCTCGGCTCATTTGGTGAACGCCATTCACTTGCCTGATGTCTTGATTGTGTGTCATACTCATAAACCCACGCCTCGTCTCCAGTAATGATCCTTTTGATGAATGTGGTATCGGATTCAGCCTCGCAAATCATGTATTTTGCGACGTCAACACGGTCTCTTTTTTGCATGAAATTGAGGTCTTTTGGCACCAACTTTGCTGCTACACGACGGAAACTCAAATCATTAACCAAAATGTCTTGGACGGATCCATAGGCAATGCTCAAGTCCTCCGCTATTTCTCTGATGGTTAATTTGCGGTTATTGACCAACATTTCTTTTACTTTTTCAGTGTTTTCGTCGGTTTTCGATGCCGATGGTCTGCCGCTGCGTTCATCATCTATGACTGATTCACGACCACTTTTAAACCGCTCGTGCCACTGATAAACGACCGTTTTCTTTAGAGAATCTTTGCCAAAACACTTTTCCAACATTTCCAACGTTCGCGCACCATTAAATCCGTTTTTTATACAAAATTTAATACAAGTTCGTTGTTGCAAATTTAAATCCATTTCTAAAATTGTAAAAAATCGCCAACACACAAAGAGATAGATGTACTCTTGGCTACGTAACTTTTGCAAATGTCAAGCTATGGCGCTAAAATTTAGAGGAAATATTAACAACAGATGTACCAACTTAATGAAAAAAACAGAACTCAAATCGGAACAATGGGAGCGCCAAACGATGGTTATTCCGGGAACTTTTTGATCAAGGTGGTATTATATTATTTTTAGGGTTGGGTAAAAATAAAATTCGCACTCTTAAAATTTTTATTCTTGTTGCGTCTATGCAGTCATCCTAAATACATTTTTTTTTTTTTTTTTGAATAATTTATGTATATTATATTAATATAAGAGGGTTATTATTTGTGTATTCAACGAATTATTATTTGAAGTATAGTTATTAGTGAATATTGGAGATTAAACCCAACATTTTATTGATTTTTATAAGTCTAGACTAAAATAATTATGATAACTTGTGTTGTAATTTAATAATACATTATTTTTTTATAAATTATTCAGGACATAAAACAATTTATTGAGGATTCGCCTGATGGAGTAATTTATTTTTCATTTGGGTCAATAGTGAAAATGGATACGTTGCCAAAAACTATGCAACAAGCATTCAAAGAAGCGTTTTCTGAATTACCTCAACGTATTTTATGGAAGTTTGAGAGCGATGAAATGGCAAATCAACCTAAAAACGTCATGATTAAAAAGTGGTTTCCTCAACGGGATATATTGAGTAAATTTGTTATTTATATTATCATTAAAAACATACGTTAAAAAAATATATACTTATTTCAACTATTTATAGGCCATCCTAATGTAAAATTGTTCATCTATCATGGTGGGTTATCAGGTGTCAATGAAGCAATCCAAAACAAAGTACCAATTCTTGGTATACCTATATTTACTGATCAATTTAAGAATATAGCAAATTGTGTCCACAAGGGTATAAGTATAAGCTTGGACCACAATAATTTAAACAAACTAATAATCCTAAATGCTATTAAGGATATGATTGGAAATCCTAAGTTAGTGCAAAAAATATTCTTTCAATTATTTCTCATAATGCGATAATAATCATCATTAATAATATAATTATTATTATAAAAGCTTTTAAGTCATAATCGAACAAAAATGAATTTGTGAACGTATGTAGCTATTTATACACAATAAGATTTCTGGCACTCACCCTACATTACTTATTATGGAAAAAACATTAAAAAATTAATTACACCTCTAAATAATTTTTAATAATTTGCATCTTTTTCTTTGCCTTAATCCCAACTACACGAAGTTGGCCACCCTTATCCTAAACTTGCACTTAATACGATTTCCTATCTCATTCGTCTTCATATTGCATTCAATAACATCCCTCCATCTCTTTTTTGGTCATCATAGATCTCTTCTTCCTTCAACATTCATTTCCATAACTGTTACAGCTTACAGCTTACAGCTTTCGATTCCTCTCTTTACATAACATGACTAAACCATCTAAGTATATTTCCTCTCATCTTATCTACGATTGACGCTACACCTATACTCTCACTTTTATATTCGTTCCTTATCTTTTTTTCTCTAATCATTCCACTCATTCATCTAAGTATTCTCATCTCTACTACATTCATTCTCTGCTCTATTCTCTTGTCAATATAATTCTCTTATCGTATAACACACCAAACGTTTCCATCCACTTCACCCGTCCATACTTAATCCTGTATCTTACATCCTTGTTAATACTATCGTTCTTTTGCACAACTGATCCTAAATACTTAAAATTTTCCACCCATTCTATCACGACGTCCTCGCTTATTGTCACTGATCTCCTCATTTCACCTACCTCGTGTTATCTTTTGTCAATATAGTGCTCTATATATATTCTGTCTTACTTTCACTTATTCTTACTTCCTTCCCTTCAAGAACTGATCTCCTCACCTCTAGCCTTTGATTTATTTTTTCACTATTTTCTCTTGTTATCATCATATCGTCAGTGAACAACATACACCATGCTACCTCTCCTTGAAATTCTCTAATAATTTCATCCATCACTATAGAAAATAAGTATGGGTTTAAAGCAGGACCTTAATATACTACTATTCTCACCCTAAAATCATCTGTTACTCCACTTACACTTTTTACCCTAATACAAGTTCCATGATACATATCCTCAATTACATTAATGTAGATTGCTTTTTACCTAGCATATCATACAACTCATATCTCTTAAACTTGGCTTTACTTACTGCACACTTGGCTTCTTCACACAATCGTTTGTACTCCTTCCAATTTTCTCTCATTTTTCTCTTTTGTCATTATTTGAACTGCGTTTTTTTACACTCTATGATTTTCTAAACATCCTCATCCCACCACCACATTTCCTTGTTTCCTGAGATTCTACTCCTACTTTCACCAACATACTCTATTGCAGTATTCTTTACACCACTAATAAATCTGTTTCACACATTATTTAGGTCTCCCATCTTTCTTCAAAACCCATTGTCTATGTACTTTAAATAATTTACATATACAGAGTAATCCATTTATCACAAAATATAAAATAATACAAGCTGTATAAATAAAATATTTGATTTAATTTTTTTAAAAATCTGACTCTTTACCGGCCACAAAGGGGGGATACAAAATAACAACTTTTTTACAAAAACTAAATTTTTCAACTTATTTTTTTAAAATACTCCGAGTTTTAAATATATATCAAATTGAAGCTAATGTTACGTACTATAAGTTATAAAAAATATTTGTCCCGACGACTTATCTTATATATGCAAATGGTTCCCATAGTTAAAAAACATGCAATTTTGGTGTTAAAATTCATGATATCATATTTTATTTTTTCAACTTTAAATTACTATAACTTTTCAAAAAATGAATGGATCAATACAATTTTTTTTCATGAATACTTAATGTTTTCTTTTTTCGTTTCATACATATTTTTTGAAAATTTGACTCTGGACCTGAAAAAACGGGGATTCAAAACAACAATTTTTACAAATAAGTTAAAATTTTTCTACTGTATTTTTGAACATTTTCGGGAAATATTTACACTTTTATTTAATCTTACAATAAAGCTTATGTAATTCATAGTATAGCATATTAGTTTTAGTTTTAGTTATTATCTAGGTGGACATAATGCCCATGCACTCAGACCTGTTAGTCCATTGTGCGCAACTCATACCGAATTGTCTTGATTCGGTTTACCCACCTAAGTGTTACCACCAAAGTGTTAATACATTACCAACCATAAAGTCACCTTTAAAGATGACCAAAGAGTCCTGTCTTTCTGGCGAAATTAAGTATCTCTCTGGGTTTTAGGTTTTTAATATCTTCTTTTTCAAGAAAATAGTATAGCATAAACTATTATTATATTATTGATATACATATCAAGATATAGTGAAAATGGTTATCATATTAAAAAATATGCTATTTTTGTGTTAAAATTCTTGGTATTGCATTTTAATTTATTTTAAAATACCTTATAAGGGGGTACACTAATATCCATGAGTATTATATAAATCTAATTGATAAAGAATATAAAGTTAAACTTACTTCAATTTTTGGTTTCTTTTAAGTCGAAAAAATTAATTTTGACATTTGAATCAGCCTAAATTGCCAATTTTATCAAAAAACAAATGCGACGAACGTTTGGCGATTCAGTAAAAATCGTTGCCTATGCAATGATTTTTCGCAATTTTTCCTTTATTCTTTTTAAGTTAAAATTTTGCTTTTGAATAATCCACCAATTTCTTAAAATTAAACACTATCTACAGATTTGTATCGAAGCGTTTCTTATGATAGTGATTTTAATCACTGTCAGATATCATCTATAATTGTCCCAACTATAACACGCTAGTACTGTGCCGCGACCCCATTGTAATATCGTTTTTTACTTTTCAACTTTGCATGGAAGCTAAATTATTTATTTGTTAAGAGACCTATATAAAATTTTCGATCGATTATATTTTAAATTCTTATTTACTTTTTTAATATGAATATTTGTCAGTGGAAAATTTAATAGATCACCAAATTTAAAATCAGTTAAAAAACGTGCATTGTGGTAAAATTAATAGTTTCTCAGCTTCGCATTTAAACTAAAAATATGAATTTAACGTAGTCTAAGAATGCATAAATAATAAAAAAAAAAAGTAACACAAAACATTAGTAGATAAAAAGTTAATAACATCGTAATACACTCTGTATACTTTACCATTTAAAAAACAAAGTTGACACATCTTCAAATTATAAGGGATGATACTAAAAAGTAATTAATAGATGATAAACCAAAAAATATGTGTAGCTAAAAATAACAATTATTTTTTTCAATATTGTAATTTTTTTTCGATTAATTCAGTTATTTTATGATTAACGGATTACTCTGTATAATAAAAAATTGAAATAAAATATAAAAAATCTAATACGTTGAGCTTTCTAATAAGTACTCTAATTTTACTAAGTAAAAATTTATAATTTTTTGAAAAAATAAGCTTCACAATTATTTCATACTTGACACAGTCCCTAATAGCACACTATTCATCTATCGTAAAATAGCACGTAATCTGGTCGTCAATATCAGATGTCCACCGTCGCAATCGTCAGCGTTGACGATAACACTATGTTCGTCTTGTTCGGTGACATGTCTTATCTACTAGATATGACATGTCAGGAGGTAAGCATCGCGAGAAATGTCGGCAACTATGTAAACCTGTGTTCGCTATATTTACTTGTGACTTATATACGCCGCATTACATATCCACTTACTTTTTTTTTTAATATCAAATACTGATTGTCATTAGTATTGTCACCCGTATTAATATAATGATCCTTTTGTAAAATTATATTATATAGTACTTTATTTGATTCTACACAGTAAACCCGGCGTTATGATTTTTATATTTTATTATTAAAAAAACTCCGCATATCGTGTCATATTATTATAAATACTTTGAATTTATTATTTTTAGGTACAAAAATAAAGCTTTAGAACTCTTTGATAAATTTAATGATCGACCCGTGACGCCTAAACAATTAGTTATTTATTGGACCAACTATGTTTTAAAATTCTATAAACACGAAATGTTTCAAAATGCTGCTGATTTAGAGTGGTTCAAATATTATATGTTTGATATCGTAACATTATTATTGTCTTCTATATTATTATTAGTATATGTCTTGCGTTATTTCATTGAAAATTAAAACTATACTTAAATGTTAACTGTTTCCCAAAATGAAGGTTATGTGTAATTACTATACTTATATTTTATTTTACTCTTTTTTTTTTTTTTTTTTAAATTGTTTTACTAAATTAAGTGTAATTATTAATAGTATTATTTTTATTTTTTTACGTACTTTTTTATATAATCTAAGAGTAGAAGTTGATTTATTTGAAATAGTGTTAATATTATTCCTTTACTGTTAAAGAAATGGAAAATACGGTTTGTATAATATATTGTAAAAATACATAGACATATTATATAAACAAGTGATTATTTCAAACATCGTATTATATAATAAAACATTGAAAAATTAGCGGATGCTGAAAAAATTATTAAACGACATACGATTTTCAAAAATTTTTTTTTAATGAAAGAGCTCAATAACGTTATTCTAAAAAAAATATTCGCGAAGAAGATAATAAATGTTTTAAAACACCGTAAGCGTTTAAAAATTTGATCAAAAACGCTTCTTGCCACCAGCGTCTTTTTATTTAATATCTGAAATTTTTTACAGACCTGCCTAGAGACATTCCAAAGGTACCCTGAAAATGACGTTAGAATATGTTCATTTTTAACCGAATTATTAACATTTTTTTTTTTTTAAGCCCACGCCCATTGTTTTTAGTAGGATATTATTTTGGTTGGCGCATGTCAATTTTGTTTAAATTTTATGCAAGTATACAAGTGCACTAATAACACGGCATTTAAAGGTACCTTAGGAGTGCAGCTAATTTATTTGGTCTCTATTTAATCTCTATTTTAGAGTCATATTATTAGGTAATTATTTAATAATTTTAATAATTATTTATTATTATAGTATGCCTAACCATACTAACAAACTATTACTTTGTGGTAGGACATTTTCCTACAATTTTTACATTAAATGTTAATGATAATTTGTATTGATATGTATTAGATTGTAATATAAATTTAAATGTATGGTTTTTTATTTGAAACTTTTTATTATAGTATTCATTTCAATCTATTACCTTAACTTCATAACACAATTTTATTTATATTAATGATACCAAAGATAGTGTTAAAATTGTAAAAATTTTAAAATATTGTGATGATCTTGGTAAAAAAAATGTAAACTTTATACCCTATACACATTTCACTAATTACTATTTTTGAATTTTACTCATTTTATTAATTAAATGTCTATTATATTTTTGTTAAACTGCTTCTAGAGTAATACTTTTCCTGCACTTATTGTGTCCGGCGTAGCCTTGTACTATCGGGAATCAATGGCCTATCTGTAAGGACAGCCCGAAGAGCACCGAATCTGGGGCTTATCCCCAGCTAAACAAAGCCTAGTGCTATAATAATAAAATAATACTCAACAAAGTAATTTTACAAATAAAGTATAAAATGTCTTATATTGTGAATAAAAATCACAATAAATTTTTATAATTACTCTCAACAATTTCAATGCATGGTAGGCATTGAGTAACAGACTACTATGCATTAAAAAAAAAAAAAAAATGAAATGAAGCCCCTGTCTTTGTATATAAATAAATAAGCTTTAATTTAATGAAAATTTTTATAATTACCCCATAAACATTATAATTTTTATTCTTATTTCAAGTTACGCAAATTTATACTAAATACAATTTTTTTCGATATACATAGTTTAGTATGTGTATCGTAAGACAAGTATTATTTTAAGTATCTTAACTTTTAGATGACCCATCTAAAGTTTTCGTCAGAAAAGAGCTTCAAAATGGCTATTTTGTAATTTTGAAAAAATTAACGACACAAAATCAGCTTATATCACTTTTGCTCTTCACGTAAATTATTGATTTCATTGTTTATAACAATTTACCTGTTTCCTTACTAACTGACACAATATAATTTATGTATTTCTCTTTAAAATAAAGAAAACAAAATTTTGTGCTGGCCGCAGACTAAATACTTAACAGTCGTCGTGTGTGTGCGGCGTTTCTGCAGTTCTAAAATAATCACAAGTCGCTATACTATTAATAATATAGATAAACGGCTAAACCCTCCGATAACAATATCATTATTCAGCACCGTATCAAAAATTCCAAAAACATAAAATACTCATTATTAATTATTAATACACTATAACTAGATTAGATTAAATTAGATTAGATAGATAAGACTAGTTAGATTAGTTATTTTACACATTCAACTCAACTAGTTACTAAGAAAGTTATTATGTATTAAAATTAACTAATTAATCTAAAAATTACTTAAATAGTAAATTTATAACTAATTAATGTCTAACTTTGCCAATTAGTTCAGCAATATAAAAAATTTAATAAAAAACATCATTAGATAAATAAATTTTCATCGGTTGACATCGCTGGTATTTAGTTACCGTTATTGTAATTTATGTAAACACAATATATTTACTTTTTGTACAGATTGTAAATATTTATTTTACAATATTAAATACATACAATAATTTTCGAGAAAAATATTCTATAATGAAATTCTGAACACTGTAGATATTATTGTTTTTCATTAAGTTAATAAACTACAGTATATCCTTTTTTGGTAACTTTATAACGCTTACATTTTTTTTAATAGTATTCTTAGTTAAAACGGAATTTAAGTAAAATAATTTGTATAATGGTCAAGTTTTTTTTTAAAACCACAGACAGAATTTTCATTTTTAAATTTTATATATTAAAAACAATTTTTCTTAAAATTTTAATTTAATTTTAAAACCATAGAAAATATCAAGTATATTGTAAGGAAAAATTATTTCTAATGTCAGGACACATGTGCCTTATCTAATATTTTGTCCAGTAACTGCTGTTTCTGTGACATTAAGAGGTCGATTTAAAATATGCGATATTTTTATTACATTCATAAAATAATTGAAAATATTTAATAGCTTATAACTAGTACTAATAATTATTAATTAGGTATTATTCATTCAAGCGATGATAATTTTCATGAAACTACTGTGCCTTTAACTAATCTTTTAGTCTAAAAACATTGCGTTCTCTATTATTCTTTTCCCAATAAAAATATCAACATCTGATATTATATAAAATACATGTAAAATAAACGTATAAATTCAAATCATCATAAAGTTTAAAATGCTCTAGAAATTTAAATACAAAATATTATTCAGAAATTTTGCTTAAAATCGATTTATAAAATGGCTACCTTATAAATATTTTTTTATTTATTTCTTAAATCTTTAAAATTTCTATTTTCAAATAAATGTAAAAATTATTATAGATAATAAATATTATTACTGCAGTCCTAAAGCGTAAAAACTATTAAAAAAAAAAAAAAAGTACTGCAAAATATTCAATGTATCAAAAGTTATGGGGTTTGTCAGAATATACAGAATTACTCTGTATATTTATTGAATTATTTAAAAAGCAAACAAAATTTTTAATAAATTAATTGTAGCTTTAATTTTATATGGGTGTATTAAAACAAATGATAATCATAAAAATAATAAGTTTCGATGAATTGGAAATACTTAAAATTAAATGAACATAATTATTTAAATTCACGCTTATCTTAAGATTTTAAAGTATTAAAAGTTATCAACACTAGTTATAGCATGACCATTTAAGAACACCAGTCGGAATGCCATGGTATTTCCTAGACGATGTGATTTTTTATAGCTTTAAACGTTTTAGTAAAATTTTATATTTTTTCTTATTGTTAAAAATTGCTTGGAAAAAATCCATTTTGAAAGATATAAAAACAAATAACATAATTTTTTTTATCAGATGTCATTTTCTATGAAATTAGTAGCACAGAATAAATACATCAGTTGCAATATATTTTAAGACGTAGGCACGGCTTTTAATGTATTTAACATTTATTGAAAGATAGGGTTTTTATCTTTGAACGGATTAAAATATATATTATTTTACTACATATCATTGAAGTGTTTTTAAACCAAATATTTTTTTTTCTTTACAAACATTTTAAATTCATAATAATAGTTTCTGAGAAAATGAGTGATTTATCAGATTTGGTTCTTCTGTATTATTATCATATATTAAATACAATGATGCCAAGTCATCCTTAAATGCATAGTTGCAATGACCAGACATGTCACAAACTTTTTTTGTAGATGGGCAATTTTACTGCACTAGTCCAAGAAGAAAAGTCCACAAAACTTGATTTTTTTTTCAAAATTCCAAATTTAGGAAAATATGTCTAAAAAATATCCACGTATAAATAATATGAAACGGCAATATGATTTTTTAACTAGCAAATAAAGTTAAATAATTATTAAATTATGATTCATCAATTGTTATAACTACATAAGCATTTTTTTTGAGTAGTGTATGCTTCATTTTAATTGTATAATGTTACAAAATAATTTTTAAGGCATATATTAAATTTATTTACTTAAAAATAAAATTGTCCAAGTCAAACCTAGTTTTGCTATGTTTTTAATAATATACATTTATCATTTTTAACATTTCTTCAGAATATTATAATAATCTACTAAAATTTAAAGTCTTGGTTTAATAAAATGAATAGCTGAAATAGCTATTAAAAGTTTAAAGATTTGTATCTATAGATAAAAATATAATGGTACCTAAAAATGTTTACATTTAATCAGTGTTATTTATAATAATGATGTATTACTTAAATTTTTCAATACAATTAATAATCTTATTTGTTAATATTAACTTCAATACTTTTAACAAGTTAGATATATTAAATTGAAATCTTTCATGTTGTGCATTCATAAAATTAAAAAATATCAGTGTTATTGTTTGTCGGATGTCTAGTAGAGGTGGTAATTTTATTAATGTCTACACTTTAGTCGGCCATTAGTTGTTAGTACTGTGACCGATAGAGTCAAAGTCAGATGTTCAAGGTTAGTTTAACTGAACAGTTTATTTTTTTTGTAACTTATTTTAATAATGTTATGTAATATTAATATTACTTGTTGATATTTTTCAGTTAATTATGACAGTATCGTAATAGTAATTTTTTTTTTCAAATTCTTTTAATGTGCTTAGACAATATTAAGATTAATGTTTCGAATTTAATCGTTGAAAAGAATTTTGATTGAAAATTTGTTGCAAGTCAATAAAATTTTTAACTGTAAGTAATAAAATTATACTTGTAGTGAGTTAAAACAAATTTTTATGTAACTTTTATTAGTATATAGTAAGTTATAAAACTAATTTATTTTATTTATTTGTAAAATAATAAACAAAATAAGTACAATTGTAAGGATAAGTATTATTTGAAAATTCCCATAACGTTTTTAGAATTCAAATTTGTTTTTATCTTGCAAGTAATTGAGTGGGTTATGATAAAAAAAAATATCCCACCCAAAGATTTTTTTTCAATTAACTACAATACATTTTACCTGCGTAGTACATAATTAAGTATTTTCCAATCTATTGATACTGAATTTCATTGAAAAAACAGATTAGTAGTTTATTAGTTCTTATTTTGGTTTCAAATGATTGGTTGTGCCTAACTATACAAAACTATAAAATATAAGTTTAATAAAAACTATATTTTCTGTAGTAAATATTAAGTAAAATAAATAAAGTTTCATTTTATTTAATTAGAATGTGCTTTTTATATAAACTTAAAATTTAATCACTATTTCAATAAATTAACTTTCCTAGCTTTTGCATTAGCAAACATGTTAATAATATTTAATTTTAATTTTATTAATAACACATTTTTTAATATTCAAAACTATAATGTTGGATAATAAAGTCAAGTTTTGATACTTTAGAAATATCATTTTCACTCAAGAATAATAACAAAGTAAGACATAAAAAAAAATCAAAATTATCTGTCACTTTTTTTAATCATTTGTATATTGAGTTTAACAGAATATGAACTTTAATTTTGGAAACCACAATGGTAAAACATTTGAGCATCATGGCAAAAGCCGTTTGGTGAATATTTTGTCAATATTCACCACACGTCACATGTCAATATTATATTTGAGTTAACAATAAAAAATTGCAATAGACTCCATTAGCCAATTTTAAACTTAAAAGTAAGACTGAATTTATTAGGAAAAATTATTATAGACTTCATTATAAAACATTTCCAATTTCGATGGGTCAATAACAATTTTAGATTGAGTAATTATTGGGTAACAATTATTTTAATACATAGAGTGGGTGGAGTATGCATTATAAATATACACCAGTGAGAGCTGTATTCACTTATGCTACATACTTGCTTTATGTATTAAAATGATCATAACTCAATAAGTACTACTCTTAAAGTTGTTATCAATATATCTAAATTTTTTATAACCTTTATAATTTTGAAAAAATAAAAAATTTATTTACATATTTTTCTTATTAGAGACAATTTAAATTATTTACATATAAAGTATTGCAATATATTTGCTAGATCAAAAGTTATTAAATTTATCAAAACATTGTAGACCTACTACTCTGTATATTAGATATCAAATTATAACAAATAGTGTGCAAGAAAATAAGAGGACTGTAACTCTCAATTTTTCTCTCTAGATCTTCTAACAGAACAACTAGTTATTATAGCGTAGTGCGCTATAACCTAATATTCTTATCAATATTATTTTTATAGTGTATTATTTGACTAAGCGAGATAACACTACATTAGTTTATACTAACCTATCTATTTTTGATAACCTTTTTTTGGTAGGTCATTTTTTCAGATAGTCAAGATTTTATGATCTAGGAAAAGACCTGGGGAAAACCCTATAGACAGAGAGTCTCAAAGTATCACATTGCTAACTTTGTGCCACTGTGATGTTTTTTTCGCCTAGTAGACAATTTTTTTGTTATAGTTCACTTTTAAATACTTATTTGGTATAAGTTAAAACTTGCCATATGTTACGTAACATGGTACTAAATATATAAAGTATTCCCAAAAAATAACATTCTATTTAAACTTAAGAAATTCTTCCATTCCCATCTTACATAGTGTGCCCTCAACAATTTCAATACATTGTAGGCCTTGGGTAACAGACTACTATGCATTAAAAAAATGAAATGAAGCTCCTCTCTTTGTATATAAATAAGCTCTAATTTAATGAAAGTTTCTAGGATTCGGTTTAACATTAAATTTTTTAAATTGAAAAGAAATAAATGATGATATTCTTACTATATTCAAATAGATTTTGTATTATATTTAAAAAAAGAAAAAATGTGTTCAGCATTGTAAGTAAGGTTTTATCAAGCACTGTAAAGTTTCACAATATACTATGTTTTTTTTTTTTAGGGTATTTAGGTCCAATCAGATATATCTTGTTTTTTTTTTATGTATTACTCCACCATTTTAGTTTAATTAGAGTTGTAATTAAGTATAACTAGTAGCATACATATATAAAAAAAAAAAAAACTTATTAATTTTGGAACAATAATTCATCCGTATAGCTTAAACTAAAAAAAATTTAAAGGATTAAAATATATATATAAATTGAGATTGAATAAAACTTTGTTTATTACTAAACTAAAATTGTATAACGCACTAAGTATCGAGTTTAAAATGTACCTTAAATGTGTATATTTTAAACAATTTTGAAGCCATGTCTTGGGACACACTTACCAGCTATTCATGCAAGATGCATGAAGAAAAAGTTCTACCTATAATTGGTAACAGATGATGTAATAGACGTATATATATAACATTTACAAAACAAAATATTGTCACCAGTTTTATTTGTTGGAGTTTCTAAATTTTATTTTATTAATTTATTTGAATTCTATTCAGACTTTAGTTTAAATAAAAAAAAAAAAATACAAGGGAGTAAATCTACTTACTTTTTAAACTTTTTTTGTTGATTATGTTGGCTTTTTATACTTATCAAGACTAAAAAAATAACAGGGTCTGTAAATTTTGAACGAATTTGATTTTAAAACGTAATTAAAATATATTTTTTGATAGATTAAACAAATTTACCCCTAATAGCATTAAAATTATTATAATTTTTGCAGATGAATTTATTTAATGTATTGATCCTGATTTTCATCACTGTATTAAATAGTACACATGGAGCAAATATCTTAGGAGTGTTCCCTATCAATGGCCGCAGTCACTGGGTGGTATACGAAAGTTTAATGAAAGCTCTAGCAGCTCGAGGACATAATGTTACTGTAATCACTTCATTCCCACAAAAATCTCCAATAGCAAATTATACAGATATTGATGTTTCTACTGCATTTCCAAGTGTGGCAAATAAAATAGGAATTGATTTAGTACTCAATGTATTAAGTAACACGCATATGAACCAAATGTTCATTTCTGATCATCAATTAAAATTGTGCCGAGAAACTATAAAACTACCTCAAGTACAGGGGATGTTGAAAAGTGATATCAAGTTTGACGTAGTAAGTTTTATGAAAAAGGAATAAATTTAAAATAATTTAATTTAAAATTAAATTTACATATTATTTATGATTATAAATTTACAGGTTTTTACTGAGATTTTTGGATCAGATTGTGACGTTGGATATGCATATTATTACAAAGCACCTTTAATATCTATGATGTCAAGTGGTATTTTACCTTGGAGTTATGATCGTGTTGGTGGTCCGGATAATCCATCGTACATACCTTTAATGATAATGCCAACTTCTGGTAAAATGGATTTTACTCAACGACTGAAAAACACCATTTACTATATATACTTTAAAATTGTATGGAAAATATTTAGTGAATGGCCAGCTGATAAATTTTTAAAAGAATCATTTGGTCCAGAAACTCCATATATAAATGACATATTATACAACACATCAATGGTATTTGTAAATAATCATTTTTCATTAGATGGTCCACGGCCACTTGTACCTAACATGGTAGAAATTGGAGGCATTCATATAAAACATCCACAACCCATTCCTAAGGTAGATTAACAATTGGTATTTTATTTCTATTTTAAAGCTGTATAACACTGCATTACGTTTTTTATACTTACCTGAAATGTTATTTTATTAATTTATAATTTTTACCATGTCAAATCTAAAACACAATTATTCATAAACATATTACTAGAAGAAATCTAACATAGTAGCTATTTTGAAATTCATAGTTATCCTAAAGAGCAAAAAANGTTAACATAGTGACTATTTTGAAATTAATAGTTATCCTAAAAAGCAAAAGATAATATTTAGTCATCAAATAACATTATATTTCTCTCACCCCCATATAAGGTTTCTTAATAATAATGTTAAGTAAACAAATATAGAATGTTTGAAGCAGTTTTAATATTCTATGAATATTTGTTGAATTCTTTATAAGATTATTATTGATACATTAGTATCAATATTAATGAAATATGGTGACTCCTGTATGCATATCAAAATTTAGATGAATCATTAACAGATTTCCCATATTCCATTAAAATTTTTAAACAATAAAGAAGGATAAATTTTATTTACTAATTATTTAGATTATTAATAATAACCTACATAATTATAAACTTTATATTATCTATATATGTACAATAATTAATTGTAGGGGTGACGGTATTTTTTTTTAATATCGATATTTCGGTATGATATTTTTTACCGGTATTTGGATACGGTAATTTTGATATACTCGATATTTCGGTATCTCAGTATTTCCGATATTACATAATAATATAATATTATATAATAACATTAATATGAATTAATTTATTTATAATAAATTTATAAAAAAAAAACAAGATCACAAATTATTATTTTATTTAATTATTTTGATACAAATTTAGAGTTCATAGATAAAAATATGAGTTCTTCGGAATGCTCTGTTGATAGAGATGATCTATGATCAGTAATTATATTGCCCGCACAACTGAATACACGTTCGTTTGGAACACTAGTACCCTGCATGCATAAATATTTTTTACCAAGTACGGCCAAAGTTGGAAATTTATTTTGATAGACTTTCCACCACTTTAAAGGGTCTGACTCTAAATTTATAGGTTCAATATTTTATGTTCAATTCGATATAAACGCTAAGATGCAATTATTGCGATAAACAACACGCAACAACGATAAAAACAAAATAATACGAACCCATATCGATATTTAAGATATATATATTTAGTATTGTAAATATGTCATATATTTCTCACTGGAAATTTTGAACAATCTAAAAATAGATTAAAATATTCAATAACTAATTTCGGTTATCAGTATTAGCGATATTCCGATATTTTCGGTATATCGTATAAATAAAAAAGACGGTATACCGGTATATCGACCTCAAATCGGTATACCGGTAACACCGTCACCCCTAATTAATTGTATCAATATTGAAAACACACTAATATTACAAAATACTAACTTTTATGCTAGTTGATTTAAAATTATTCTCATTTTCAGGATATTTTAAAATTTATTGAAGAGTCACCGAATGGTGTTTTGTTTTTTACATTTGGTTCCATGATCCGTATATCAACATTACCAAAAGAACTACTTCAAATATTTAAAGATGTTTTTGCACAGCTTCCAATTCGAGTTTTATGGAAATTTGAAGAAGAGATGCCTGATAAACCCAAAAATGTTTTCATTAGTAATTGGATGCCTCAGAGAGATATTCTAAGTAATTTATAATTATTTAATTTGATAAATTATGCAATACAAGAATCGCAGTTTATTTATTATTTTATATTCTTTTACTACAGATCATCCAAAATTACGTATATTTATGACTCATGGTGGACTATTAGGTATAATGGAAGCTGTAAAATCGGGTGTACCAGTAGTAGGAATTCCATTTTTTTTTGACCAATTCAGAAATATTCAGAATGTGGCTAATAATGGTGCTGGAATTTCATTGGATTATTATTCTTTAACAAAAGAATCTCTTTTTAATGCTTTAAATAGCATTATTACAAATAGCAGGTATATTAGAAATAAATTAATTTTGCTATTGGCAGACTAAGTATAAAATATTTTTCAAATTCATTTAATCACAGTAGACAGGATATATTCTGTCCACTAAATACTTTTCTGAATACATATTATGTATTTAGAAAAAACCCTAATTCCCATTGTAGACAGGGAAAGTTGTGGGATATGTACTGATATTTTATTATATAATAGAACAAGGAAATAACGCTTTTCTGGGAAAATTATTGGCAAGCACAGAAAATTTTTGGTGCTCGTCAGCAAGTGCTTTAAAATTTCATCTGTTTTTGAGAAAACGCTCGCTTATGAATCTAGGTTTGATACTTTTACGAGGCCCGCCCAATGACATTTACAATATATATCACAAAAAAATTAATTCAATCCGTTTATTTTTCACCGATCTACAGTTCATTTTTGCACATATATATATATATATTGACTCTGAATTTTTAGAATATGATTTTGGAAGGCTTATTTTTCTCTTGGTGAATATTTCAGTAAAAAAATGTCAACATAAATCCTAATAAATTTGACTATTTTCTTTTTTTTTAATTTTCCTGATTTTAATATGTTTTTATTACATTGATTCTGTTGTAATATTTTTGCTACAAAAAATTTATTGTGCGAGGTGTAGCTGAGTACTTGTACCAAAATCAGTGGCCTATTTATAAGGATGGCCCAAAGAGGCTTACACGCCAAAGACACGTGAGACTCGTAGGGTCCAGGTTTAGGCCAGAGTCCCAGCGAGGCAAAGCATAATTAAGTAAAATATAAAAATTTCTCGTCTATATTACATCTTAAAAACTTCTTCAAATATCACCAAATATTACACATATTTTTTGACAATGACTTTTTAAGAAACTATAACAGTTGAGCTGGTAATTGCTTGAAATTCCTATGCTATTAACATTTAACAAGTCTAATTTTTGGATACATTTTATAATATAAATTTTTTTTTTTAGTTTTTCTTTGAATGCAAAAAAATTATCGCAACGATTTTCTGATCGACCACTTAATGCTACAGAAACAGCAGTTTATTGGACAGAATATGTAATAAGACATAAAGGAGCTAGTCATTTGAGAACAGCAGCAGTTGGAATGCCATGGTGGAAGTATTTCCTAGTTGATGTGATCGCTTTTATCGCTTCTATTGTTTTTATTGTTTTATATGTGATTTATTTCTTGTTAAAAACTGCGTACAAAAAGATAACAAAAAAATCTGTACCAAAAGATAAGAAAAAAAATTAATTTTGTAGATAAAATGTCACTTATCTTTTTATTGTGATTAGATTTTTATTGAAGGGTGCATCTATTGTAAATTATTTAAATTTGTGATTTGATAATTGTACAAGCCATAATCTACAATACGGAATTGATAATATTAATTTTATTTAAAAAATTTTGATTGTTACTGTTGTGTTATTTATTTTAATATTTACCTTGAAATCAAATTAACTGTTCATAAATGAAAATTATAAATTATTATTGGCCTTTTTAGTATTCCATTAATATTTTATGATTGTATTAATGCATTGTAATTTCTGTTATCTTTTAAGATTATTTTTAATCACTCTTGTGTATCAATTCAGATAATTTTACATTTGTACAATATTACCCAATTTAAATATATAATTTTAAAAATTGTTTATTTTATACCTAAAAAAAGTTATTTTATTAGGCTGTAAATTTACCTTTAATCAGAATTATTGTGCAGAGTTAAAAGCTATTTCATTTACATAACTGTAATATTACCAAATAATAAAAAACATAAAGCAATGTACATCTAAAAATGATGACATTTTATAGTTTAATTGCTTTTATATTTTTTTATGGCAATATAAATTTTTGTAGATATAGAATTAATTAAAATATTATTTGAATTTTGACTCTATAGACCACACTGAATTATATACTAGTGAAAACAAACTTGTATATAAATCGGTGGGGTACTAGATCTAAAACGATTTCCAAAATTAAGAAAGCCAATCCGAAATAAATTGTGTGTACAAATTGACAAATATATGGCAACATGACAATCAATTAAAAAGGTTCTTGAAACACCTAAATTAGGAATCGTGCTAACATACAATTAACAAAGAAA